ATCCCGCTGAAATCAGGAGGAGGCCCCGCTGAAAACATGAGGAGGTCCCGCTGAAAACAGGAGCAAGTGTCTCTCAAAAATGGAGTGAATCCCGATTATACCCTGAAAATCTCCCACTTTCGTACCCACCTTGATCCACTATTGTACCCAGTTTGATGAATACATTATTTGTCAATACAATTCTCAATAACAGCAAACACAACTGTTAATATAGTTCATATTATGATATGTTGTTATGGAAAACTGCAGTATCATATTTCCATGCCATTTTACAGAATACGAAAGATCATCTGAGAAATGTGATGAGTATTAGATCGGACGAAATGTTAAACATTTAACCTCATTTTCATAATTTGAAGTAATATAAGTTATTGAATGATTTGAAGTGCAGTATAGGATATATTGTGCTCAAAAAATTCTGTATTGGCACGAGATGAAATCAAGTGGAAATACAGCATATCGAGAGCACAATATATCCTATGTTGCGCTTAAAATCGTTGTATAACGTTTTTTATCGTGTGATCTTACTACATAGTCCATAGGAAATATTCTGTATTCTCTGTATTTCAACTGTCCCCTCTGTTCCATCTTTGAGTACAAGTCGATATCAGTAAGATACACGAATAAACATGCGTTTAGGTCAACCTAAAATGATTTAGTCAGAATAATGTTTATGAATATTATTCCTATATCAATCTCCTGTTGCTTACTTGCTTCCTCCCTTCCTTGCTTCTTCGCTTCCTTCCTTCCTTGCTTCCTGGCTTTCTTCCTCGCTTCCTCACATCCTTCATTCCTCGCTTCCTTCCATCCTTGCTTCCTTCCTTCCTCGCTTCCTTCCTTCTTTGCTTCCTTGCTTCATTCCTTCCTTGCTTCCTCACTTCATTCCTTCGCTTCCTCCCTTCCTAGCTTCCTTCCTTCCTCACTTCCCTCCCTTCTTTTTTCCTTCCTCGTTCCTTTCTTTCCTCCTTCTTTGTTTCCTCGCTTTCTTCATAAATTTCTTCCTTGCTTTTTTTTCCTTCCTTCCTTTCTTGCGTCTTTGCTTGCTTCCTTCCTTCCTTGATTCATCGTTTCCTTCCTTCTTTGCTTCCTGGCTTCCTTTCTTCCTCGTTCCCTTCCTTGCTTCCTTCCTTGCTTCCTCAGTTCCTTCCTTCCTTGCTTCCTCGCAACGTTCCTTCGCTTCCGTCCTTTCTTTCTTCCTCAGTTCCTTCCTTCCTTCCTTGCTTCCTCGCTTTCTTCCCTCCTCGCTTTCTCGTTTCCTTGCTTCCTTCCTTCCTTCTTTGCTTCCTCGCGTCCTTCCTTCCTCGCAGTCTTTCCTTCTTCACTTCCTTCCTACCTTGCTTCCTCGCTTCCTTCCTCGCTTCATTCCTTCCTCGCTTCCTTCTTTCCTCGTTTCCCTCTTTCCTTCCTTGCTTTTTCCTTCCTCGCTCCCTTCTTTTCCCCTTCTTTGCTTCCTTCACAAATTTCTTCCTCAATTCCTTCCTTTCTTCCTTCCTTCCTTGCTTCATTCCCTCCTTCCATGCTTCCTCGCTTTCTTCCTTGCTTCCTCGCTTTCTTCTTTCCTTGCTTCCTCGCTTCCTTCCTTCCTCACTTCCCTCCTTCCTTGCTTCCATCCTTCCTCGCTTCCTTGTTTCCTCATTCCTTGCTTCCTCGCTTCTTTCGTTTTTTTGCTCGCGTCCTTCCTTTCTCGCTCCATTCCTTTCTTGCTTCCTCGCTTCCATATTTCCTCCTTCCTTGCTTCCTCGCTTCCTTCTTTCCTTGCTTCATCGCTTCCTTCCTTCCTCACTTCCCTCCTTCCTTCCTTGCTTCCTTCCTTCCTCACTTCCTCCTTCCTTGCTTCCTCGTTTCCTTCATTCTTTCCTCGTGTCCTTCTTTTCTCGCTTCATTTCTCCCTTGCTTTCTTCCCTCCTTGCTTCCTTGCATTCTCGCCTTCTTCCTTCCTTCCTTACTTACTTCCTTGCTTTTTTTCTTCCTTTCTTTGCGTCTTTGCTTGCTTCCTTCCTTCCTTGCTTCCTCGTTTCCTTCCTTCTTTGCTTCCTGGCTTCCTTTCTTCCTCGCTTCCTTACTTGCTAGCTTCCCTGCTTAATTCTTTACTCGCATCGTTCCTTCCTTGCTCCCTCGGTTTCCTTGCTTCCTTCCTTCCTTCATTGCTCTTCCTTCATTGTTCACTTGCTTGCTTACTCAATTACTTACTTTGTTGCTTGTTTACTTCCTCACGTCCTTGCTTGCTTTCTTGATTATTTACATTCTTTCATATGGCAGTGGAAAGACAAATTTTGATGAAAACCTGCAAACGAACAAACGAACGAGGAAAGAACGCACGGATGGACAGAAGAACAGCCGAAAAAACAATGAATAGGATAGGCGGCCAAAAGAACGCATGGAGGAAAGATAGAAAAAAACAATTTACAAAAGATCGAACCCACGCACGCAAGAACGTAGTTACAAAAAATGCACGAATGAACGCACTCACGAACGAACTCACAAACGAACGCAAAAAGAACGAACAGACGAACGTACGCATAAACGCACGCACAAAAGAACAATCGGTCGGATGAACGCACGCATGAAAGAACGGACCGTCGGACGAACGCACGGTCAGACGAACGCACGGTCAGACGAACGCACGCACGAACGAACGGTCGGTCGAATCCACGCACGAATGAACGGTCGGATAAAGAAACAAATGCAATATATGTGTCCTCAGAAGTATAATCCTTGGAATAGTGAATTATGTAGAATGTACATTTAACTCCGAAATGTACAAAGTATATTTACATATAAAAATTTGATCATGGAATTGGAAATTTGCCATAGAATGATATGTTATGTGATTGTCATTAATACGTTATCGTGTACGTTCATATAAAGAAGCTCACTATATTCATGGAATAATGATGAAGCTTTCCTCGTGATCGAAGCAGGTAGTCATGAAATTTGCTCGTGTTTTCAGGGGGGTCTCCTCATGTTTTCAGCGGGGCCTCCTCATGTTTTCAGCGGGGCCACTGGAACACCTTTAATAATGCATTTCGACCCCCATGGCAGGTGTCATTGTCCAGTAACTTATCAATACAGACCATCTTGATCCGATATTTATTATGGAGTATGTAAATCGTATTTATTGCCTTTATTTTAACGATAAAGGTATTATATGAACAGTAAATTATGCAAACGTGCATGTTGACGCCCCTTTCCTTCATGCAAGTAAAAAATAATCATTTTTCATGTCATTTTTTGTCAAATATATCTGTTTCCAAAGTTATGCTGGAGTATCAAAGAACGGTAATAAGTATTTTCATCATTTTGGTTCATTTTCCAAAGTGATACAAATAAACAGGACTATGCTCGCAATTTCAGCTGGAACTTGCTCGCGACTTTTCAATCATAGCGGGGCTTTAGATACTACCCGTGAAGTTTGTTTTCAGCGAAATTGACTACATCTGGAGCATTTTTTGAAACAACCATAGCTCTATCAATATAAGACTATGATTATTGAAACTTTGCCAGAGGATCCCACATTGAATGGAGTCCTTGTGTGCCAAATTCCAGAGCAATTAACCTCTATTCATGAAAAATATTAAAGAAATGGAGGGTTACATTTTTTGGGATCAACCTGTATTTAGGTCATTCAATTAAGCACTTGTAAAATAACTCATTTGTGTTTGATTTTAGGAAAATTATTAATTTCTAGTCAACAAGCAAAAATCAGTGTGATTTATCTCCAAACTTTACAAACGAAACAAAATGGCCAACATTTCTTTTTGATAGCAGCTTGCCAACTTACAATTAATAACTTTCTCAATAGAAATGTGTTAGTGTTTTATAGAATGATCTGTGTTTTATAGTTGCAAGTGTGAAAGTGGAAACCCGTTTATCTGAAGAAGTAACACAGAAAAAACATGGTAAGTATATTTGTTTATTTTGTTATTATACTAGTGTTAACACTCATGTTTGGTTATTTAGCATCCAATGTACAGGATGACCCAAAATATGCAACCCTCCAATTCTTCAATATTTTTCTTAAATGGAGGTTAATTGCTCTGGGCACACAAAGACTTCATTCAATGTGGGATCCTCTGGCAAAGTTTTAATAATCATAGTCTTATATTGATAGAGTTACGGTCATTCCAAAATATGCTCCAAATGTCGTCCATTTCCAATGTTTAGTTTTCGGATGAATCACATTTCCTTCTTTCTGAACATGTAAACTCAAGAAATAATGTGTTCTGGGATCACAAATTCCAGATAAAGTGCTTCAAAAGCCCCCTTCATTCTGTTAAATGCACAGCCTGGGCTGCCAATTTCCAAACATGAAATCATCACCCCCTTTTGGGTTTGAGGCTGATAATGGCAACACTGTTACTGTTAACACACAGCACAATATTGGCGTTCCAAGGAAGTTCTGGGCAGTTCTAGAGAGACATAGACAAAAACAGGGGTTCTAGAAGGATGGAACTACTCCTCACACTTCTAATGATAGCATAGTCTGTTTCACTAGTCATTTCTATGAGAAGATTATCTCTCCTAGGACGGAGAACCCATGGTCATCCCAGAGTCTTGATCTCAATGCCCCTGACTTCTATATATGGGGTTATTTAAAGGATAATGTGTATGAAAATAACCCTACCACAATATTGCAGAACCATACCCATGGGGAAGAATGCATCCACGTTATGAACAGTTTTGTTTGAACATTGCAAGTTTGTTTTCAGCAAAATGGACGACATTTGAAGCATTTTTTGAAACAACCATAACTCTATCAATATAAGGCTATGATTACTAAATTATTAAAACTTTGTCAGATGATCCCACATTGAATGGAGTCTTTGTGTGCCAAATTTCAGAGCAATTAACCTCCATTCAAGAAAAATATTAATGAAATGGAGGGTTGCACTTTTTGGGATCACCCTGTATTAAGGTCATTCAATTAAGCACTTGTAAAATAACTCATTTGTGTTTGATTTTAGGAAAATTATTAATTTCTAGTCAACAAGTATGTTCAAATATCAATTAAATTCCCAATGATTGTTTAAATGATTTTGGTATAACATAAATCACCATCTCTTTTAGAATTAAAGATGGACAATGTTAACAAAAATCAGTGTGATTTATCTCCAAACTTTACAAAGTTACAATTAATGACTTTCCCAATAGAAATGTGTTAGTGTTTTATAGAATGATCTGTGTTTTATAGTTGCAAGTGTGAAAATGGAAACCAGTTTATCTGAAGAAGTAAAACAGGACCTCCTGGAGTGCAAGATATGTCTAGAAGTGATGACAACACCCAAGGTGCTGAACTGTCTCCATACATTCTGTGAAGGATGTATTGAAGGCTTGCAAAGAAAGATGTCTAAGGAAAACAACATAAGTTGTCCCGTCTGTCGCAATGTTACTACACTTCCATCTGGTGGTGTTAAATCTCTCCGGGCCAATTTTCTGATAAATACACTACAGGATGCGCTGGGGAAATCTGCCAAGGTGATCAAATGTGAGTACTGTGATGAGAAATGCAGTTACACATGCCTAGATTGTAGCGATAAGATGTGCTTCACTCACAGCTCCTCCCATTGTAATACCAAGTTCACCAGGGGACACAAAGTTGTCAGCATGGATGACGTCGTTGCTGGGAAGTACGCTAAAGAAATCCTGGCTTCACAAGTTATCGATTGTGAAATACACCAGGGAAAATGTATGGAGTTCTATTGCCTACAATGCGAGAAGATGCTCTGTGTCTCGTGCAAGATCTTGGATCACGAAGGGCATCAATGTACGTCATTGGAGAAGGCAGGGAAAACCAAGATGGCCTCATTGCAAACCAGCATCTCTGAAATGAGCGATATAAGCCAAGTTCTCTGTCAATTTAAGTCAGAAATTGACAATGCCCAAACACGTCTTGTCAAGGAAAGAGGTAACATTTCAACAAAAATTGATGGCATTGCTGATAAGATGTGTGCAGAAATACGAACCCAACAAATAAAGCTGAAAAATGAGCTAGAAGGCCACTTCAACACTCAGACAAAGTCATATGAGTTAGAGAAGGAAGAAGTTGAAATGGATATTGCGAGCATTAGGAGTGGGATTGAGTTCGGGAACACCATTTTGAAGCATGGCCGCCATATCGATGCTTTGTCTTACGCTCAGCAAATGGAACAAAATGTTAAAGGCATTGTGACTAACCTAAGGAAAGGAAAACATCCGACACAGCAGTACATGGTTTATGATATGAGGCATCATCAACAGATAGCAACTAATCAAAAGATAGCTGTTTCGAAAGAATCAGGCATAACATTAAACTTTCAGGAAAATTATCAAATAACAAATCCTATACTTGGCAGCAGACAAGATCAACGTCAACACTATTATGGGTTTGGCGGGTCAGCAGATCAACTTCCATTTGGAAACATACAGAAGGAAGCAACAGTTGTCCAAATAAACATCTAAATGTAATCCATCCAACTGTATGATGTGCATTACATAGTGGGGCACTCAAATGGGATTTGCATTTGTACAATATACAATTATTGACCTCTCCAGAGGTTTACTGTCAAAATTATATCCAAAGACTGTAAACCGAGACCGTAGGTCGAGGTTTACAGTCGAGGGATATAATTTTGACAGTAAACCGAATGGAGAGGTCTATAATTGTTTTGTTAGTCCGAAGAATATCTTAGATTTTTCTGACCCTTGAAGTTGACTTGAAGTTGGATCCAGACCCTCGAGACGTTCATGTTGTATTTCAGTATATCGGCAGTAAGTTCACTCAATGGTGTCAAATTACTCTCCTGGGCGAAGTCCACTAAAAGCTTTGTACAAAGTTTTAGATTTTTCTTCGTATTTTGACTGTCTTTACTCTCTAAGAGACTAATAATATCCTCATCTTCAACATTTTTGAAACGGCTAGTGCTAGCGGCGGCCATTTTATCGTCTGATAATGACGTCATTTTAGTGGAATGCTGGGAATATTATTCACCGGCAATGCATTGCGCGGTGTACAGTTAAAATTATTCACCGCTCGTTGACCAATCAAAATCGAGTATTTCAACTGAGGTACTAACAATATGAATTAGAGACTGGCTTCATTGAAAAGGTTCTACAGTACTACATCTCGGATGTTATAAGGTCATCTAGCATACTTTCCAGCTAGATTGTTATTTCCTAGATTCATCCCTTGTATATTTCAAATGAAAATATTCGGAAAGACGTACCTGTTTTTCCATTTACGCCATTAAGACTGTTTTCTGAGTCTGATGATATAATCTTCTCTGGTTTTGATGATGGTTTTTTCGTCACAGCTACAGGACTAATTCTGAAATTTTTCTCCATCTCTTCAAACTCAGAGTCAGAGCTGTAAAATGCGAGACAGAAAGTAAAAATCTACTATTGGTACAGGAACTTTTTCTTTTAACAGTTAAGAAAAGACATATAACTTCATGTGCTTAATCAAAATACAAGTGGTTTTAAATGAAATAAAATATGCATGATATAAGATTATTTCTGACATGTAAATACAACTGTATGGTATAATCTGATAAGATGAGATAAACCAACTACAGTAACACATGTGCAGTATATTTATTGACATCTAGTCATAACAAATTATTGAAAGATTAAACACTGAGTGAAGTGAGCGGCAAATATGCAAAGGACCATGTTTTTTTACAGGATGTTTTCAATAATTGGTTTAAGAGAAAAACATTGTTGAATTCAGTCCACCATATCGATACCTATCCTTTGCACCCACATGTATAGACATGTATCTTTTATAATGATACATTATTTTACATACTTTGTATCTTGAACAGCATCTTTGTGCACACGTTTCTTTGCAACTTTTTTTCGTTTGGATGATCGTTCATCTCCAGAGTCGCTACTTAAATCCGCATCACTGTCCACCTCAACAATGGGTTTAGACTTTGATGCACATTTTCTTGGTTGCTTGTTTTTAGTCAACAAAGGCTTATGCTCTCTGCTTTTTTCTTGCTTTTTACTTGGCTTTGATTTCTTTGTAGGTTTGCAAGTTTCAGATGCTGAGTCAGATTTAGAAGTGTTATTCTTTTTGGTTGAACCTTGTTTAGATATGGTTTGTTTATCAGATTTTGGCTTCCTTGTTGGTGACTTGTTCTGAACATAAAAAAATAATAAAAAAATATTTGTATTCAGTTAAATACAGAGTAAAATGATACATGTACACTATATTTTGATCATTATGTCAGCCAATAAGTAAATGTTATTGAATCAATTTATCTATTGTCAATAGGGTGTTTTATGGGGGGAGGCTTATTACTTTTATATGGTGGCTACAAATAACCCGCTCCTCACAATCCATTTTCCAAACCCAAGCTCAACTTATTGTGTATCTGTCGATTTCAAAAAGTGAAGATATAATTCTATCAGGCCATACACTTTTGACAATAATTCACATATTTTTTATACATGTACATATTTTCACAAAATGCAACATATACGAGTATAAAGGAAAAATAAGATTTTCAAAAGTTAATCAACTGTACATAAATAGCATTGGAAATGTATTTTGAATTTATTCAGCATATTTAGTACAGGGTTAATATTGCATAATATATAGTAACTGATAATAGGTGGATTTTTGATGTCAAATTTCTTTTTTATTACCGTATTCTCTGTAATTAGCCCCCAGGGCGTTTAGAAAATTGAAAATACATTATTTAGACCATTCTAATAAGCGCCCATGTATGAAAGAAATCAGAAATCCCGAGGAATTTCATGTATGGCAATTTTTCTTAAAGCAGATATGAAATGGTATTTTTTAACCTAAAGGAATCAATATAATTTTTTGATGAATGTATTTGGACATGTTTTCTCATCAGTAGTGCGAAAACTATTTCACGCTAACGATCGTTATAGCTGCTTAATAAGCAATATTCGAATTGGTTGTGACGTTATTGGCCCCCACGTGATCTCTCACTGGTCCCCACGTGGCCCATAACGTCATAATGCCAAAATGTTTTGTTTTGGTTTACACTACAATCCTATGGTTGCCGTGACGTTGTGATTACTAAGGAACCAATAAACCAAAGCTATATTTTGTATATGACGTTACTTATCACGTGGGGGCCAATTTGATTGATCAGTTAGTTTTATTTCGTTATTTATGACCGTTAGCAGTTATCTAACATTTATTTTATAATGACTATCGCAAGAACTCTACGTTGGGCTTACAAAGAAGAAAACCGCATTTTTGTAGCTGCAAGTTGAGAAAAGCTATTTCAGTTGTCCTTTAACAAGAATGCATTTTCTTCAACATATTTTAATAATAATATGACAAGTGCTGTTATTGGAGAGAATACGGTAAAGATCGCTTAGACAATATTGACAGTGGTTGAAGACCCGTCTATGTCTAATTTATTTCCGGCACGCCCACTTTGTCATTATCGCCGATTACCTTCAATATTTCCACTAGAGACTGCTGGATATCGATCTAAAGTTATACATTATTTCTAATTTGATGAGAGATCATCATTATTCGTGCAAAAGTCGTGTAAAAGTCGAGAAACATTAAAAAGAAACCAGAAAGTTCACGACCTTGACATGCGCAGAACATCTGCGCAGTAGCTTTTGAAATTTCTGAATGCCGATAAAGAACAATTCCTTCATTCATTATGGATTATTATGATTCCTCGATGTTTCTTGAACTTTGTGAAGCGGGGTGGGCGCTTATTAGAGAGTGGGCGGTAATTACAGAGAATACGGTATATTATTTTGATATATAGCCAGAGAAACTTGAGAGAATATGGTTTACTGTAATAAATATCATCATATATGTATATTACACATAAAAGATTAACTAATTAGTAAATAAAATAAATCATTAATTAATTACAATTACCTTTGTGTTTTTCCACGGAAGAGGCTGCAAAGATAAAACCAAGCGAACCTCAAACCCAAGACTCCTTAGAAATATCACAAAAAGATGCACTAAATCTATTTTACTGCTTACAACTTTAGATTCAAATCCTTTCGCTATGAGGTAATCTAAGAGGTCTTTAGAGTTAATAGTATGGCCTTGCTTGACTGTGAATGTCGTCATAAACCATTTGATACATTGGCTTAGATTACAAGTGGAGCCTCTCTGCCAGGGGACATTGTTCGGGATAACAGACAGCGCTATTGCATGAAGGGAAGGCTCATTACACATCCTGTTACGATACAGTCCATTAGCTATCAAACATAACAAATGAGCCTGAAAGAAAATGAAAATAAATCAATATTTTTAAATGAAGAAATTTTTATGGAATGTTTTATAATGAAAGCTTTTCAATTTTAGTCCTTACTATATAGTAGTTCCAGAGTTCCTTCTTAAAACTTTTGGAGGGGAGAGTACATACCTTGTGTATATCAATTTGGAGTTCCTTATGAAAACGATTCCACTTTCTCTTCAAGTAAAGTTGTAAATCAAACTTTTTCTTTTTCCTAAAATAAGAAAAAGGTCTGAGTCTTCTCTTAAAATATAAGAATTATCCATGACTTGACCTTGACAGGCAATGTCATGTTTTCAATTTAGAGAGGCTGATAAATGGATCGAATTGAAGTTTCTCCTGTAGGAGATAAAGGGATAAACATGACATAGTTGGTATGGTAACTATTGTTACGTACGAAAATAACAGAAAGTAAAAACAGCAATTAAAATATGATAACAATATATTTATATTTTGAAAACTAAATAATATAACAATGATATAAAGGAGGTTTAATACTTAAGTGATGTCCAATCAATGATACGGCTTATTCTTGATGTCGATAAATATCCTTGACGATCCTTGAGAATGTTCCAGATCACGAAAGTTTCAATAATCGTTAATAGTTCTCCAGTGTTTGTAATAATCCAATAATGTTCGTCGTAATCCTATAATGTTCGTATACAATAATGTTTGATGATAATCCACAAATGTTTATGATAATCCACGAATGTATATGATAATCCGTATATAGTGTGTGTTGTAATATATGTCCATATAAAGTCCTCAGGTTGTGTGTTTGTAGTGTTATAAATGTTCCCACAGTATGTGTCTGTTATTTTCTGTTAAGAAGATGTCCTTTGATCAACTTTGAAATTCTGCTTTATTTAGTTCCTTTGAGATGTCCAGTTATGATGACTTAATTATCTGCTAATGAGAGCCACTGTGCTGTTCTTTTTATAATGTGAAAGAATGATCCAGAAACGAATCTTCTGGAACTACATCTTGATTGGACATCTTTAGTGACATGACTAAATTTTAATGAATGGTTATAATTTCTAGAACTATCTGGATGGTCAAGGGTTAATGAGTCATTCAGTTCAGTTTTGTTTACAAGATACAGTGTATAATGTCATTGTGACCTTGACCTAAGATCTCTAATAAAGATCAGTTACAGTATATATATAAACTAAACTTAATGTGAGTATAATAGAACATAATACTGTAACACCTCCCTCCTTAAAAGAAAAGTTTTGAATAAAATGAAAAAACTTTTACAATAATATCTGGTGTAGCGAGGGTTACAATCTCTTAAAGTGAGGTTGAGACTTACATGATATTAACTTTACAGTAGTCCTTTTATATGCAGTATGTTAACAAATACTACTTTCTATCTTTACAGTGTGAGTTCAATCTAATAACATATAATGTTCTGTAATAATGTGTTACAATAGTATCATACTACAATAGTATCAAACTAAGTTATGCATCAAGTCATAAATACAATACATGCAATAGATCATATAACATGTACAATATCATACTTTTTGAGTCTGACAAACACTAAACTTGTACAATGTTTTAAATTATTACATGATCTTATGTCAGTATTTCTAATAGTATACTCTCATGTTATCAAGTAATCTTGTAACACTATTTAATGATCACCTATAATGCTCACATAATCTAGATACAATCTTATAGTTCATATAATATCAATTTCACTATTTAAGCAAATGTTTTCATATACATTTGTACTGTTATAATAGAGTGTCAGTTATCACAAATATCTAATTTGCCTATCATATAATATACTCTTCATGAGTTTATCATTATAATTTACAATATCTGAATCTTGAATAACATATAGTTGTCATTTACATACAAGTTTGGCGTATGATTTAAGAGCGCAAGCTCATGTTGAGTAAAGAAATTTTATCATGCTCAACATACTTTTTCATCATATGTAGCTCTCTACACCTCACAGGAGTAGCTTTATCAATGCAAATGAAATCATTCAGCACTGAGTTAGATTAAAGTCAGATATGAGCTCCTTTGGTATCTCAACTAATGTGAAATTGTTGATTTGTGATTTCACAATATACTTGGTTTTGCTATTCCTAAGCATAAGATGTGATTTTATTTCTAGAAACTGTGTGGCCATAGACAGAATAGTGAGCAGATGTTGATTATCAGATTTTGTTTTTGGTAATGGACCAACACAGTCAATAAGAACCTTACTGAATGGTTCATCAAATGCAGGTATAAGTTGTAAAGGAGCAATTGAGATTTTCTGGTTAGGTTTCCCTACCATTTGACATGTGTAACAAGACCTACAATACTCTTGGATATCTTGTTTTAATTTGGGCCAATAGAAATGATTGAGTATTTTATGGTATGTTTTAGTTATTCCTAAATGACCTGCCATGGGAGAATCATGAGCTAGACTCAAGATTTCCTTATGATACGATTTTGGGACAACAATTTGATGCACAATTGCCCAATCGTCTTCAGGGGAAGCTTCAGGAGGTCTCCACTTTCGCATTAATATGCCATCCTTTTTGTAGAAACAAACAGGGACCATGTCAGCTTCATCAATAGTAAGACATCTTTTATGAAGATCAATGAGTGATGGATCATGCTCTTGTTCATAAATTAACATGTGTTTAGAATGAGGATCATTTTTCAAAGAATCACTATCAGAAATAGAGGATGAAACCTCAGAACTAGAAGAGGATGAAACCTCAGAACAAGGAGGGGATGAAACCTCATGAACACTAGCAGAAGAAGATGAAACTTCATCAGGACTAGCAAGAGCGGGCGGAACCGCATTAAAATAGTGATCCTGCTCAGAAGGTGAATCACCTCTGGCAATAGGCTTTTTCAATGAAGAATTTGCCTTAATAGATGACTGCTTGGCTTGAACAGAAGGCTGTTTCAATGAAGAATTTGCCTTTAAAATAGGATAAGGATCATCTTTAACAAGTGGTGAGTGACATTCATTATCAAACAAGGAGCTTAAAAACCCACTATCAAAGTCATCTCCCACAGACGAATCCCCGCTATTAGCTAACTTTTTAGCCATAGCCCTAGTAACAGCACAAGCAGGATATATATCAGAGTCCTCTTGGACAGAATCCTCAATAGAACAAGGCTGATCGGAGACAATGGGGTCTAACGATACCTTACCCCCAGCTAAATCATTGCCTAAAAGCAATGCGACTCCTTCAACAGGAAGTTGTGGCCTAACACCAACAATAACTGGCCCTTTGACTAACTCTGATGTGATATGAATACGATGGAGGGGAACTTTAGTAAAACCTAATTCAATGCCTTGCATCAAAATATGGGTACCCGTGAATGACTCCTCAGATAAAGGAAGGACACCTTCTAACAACAAAGTCTGAGATGCACCCGTGTCTCTAAGAATCTTAACAGGCTTTGAATTGGTATCATCACTTGACAGTGACACAGATCCTTCCGACATGAAAGGCTTATAATCCTCCATAATATCACTATGAGTAGATTTCTCAGTATGAGTATATGAATCCCAAACAATGGGCTTTCTTGAAATGGGAACAGTAGCACAACCATTTGAATGAGCAGAACCAGACATCTCTCTTCTATTCTTTATCCTATAGCATTCAGAAATAAGATGACCAGGCTTTTTACAATAGTTACGGGTGACATTTGATTTTGGACCTGAAGAATTTGATTGATCTGATTTTGAACTAGAACTCTGTGATGAATAAGACTGGTCTTTTGCTTTGTTTGATGTATTTGATGATGAGGACTGATTTGATTTAGAGTCATATGAAGGTTTGTTACCCTGATAACCCCTATAGTTAGGATTGCCCTTGATAAAACTACCCTTATGAGTAAGAGCATAATCATCAGACAGGGTGGCAGCTTGACTTAAAGTTTCTACCTTGTGTTCATCTAAGTAAGTTCTAATGTGATACTGAACACAGTTTTTGAATTGTTCTATTAGCATAAGCTCTCTGAGCTTTTTGAACTCTTCGGATACATCTTTAGACACAAGCCACCTGTCAAAAAGCTGCTCTTGCTCTCGAGCAAACTCAACATGTGTTTGGTCACTCTGTTTGTGGGCATTTCTAAATTTTTGTCTGTAAGCTTCTGGCACTAGTTCATAAGCTTTAAGAATCGCATTTTTAATAAGGTCATAATCAGAGCATACTTCTGCTGAGAGAGAGGCAAATATTTCACTTGCTTTACCAGTGAATACACTCTGAAGCATAACTGGCCATGCAGATTTAGGCCAGTCTAGGCTCTGAGCGACTTTTTCAAAATGTGTAAAGTATTTATCAACATTTTTCTCTTGAAATTTAGGTACAAATTTGAGAAATTTTGAAGCGTCAAACCTATTTTCAAAATGTTGATGCATAGTAGCATGTTCATCAGTTTTTGATTGAGCTTCTAATTCAAGACGTTTTAATTCAACTTCTTTCTCTTTTTGAATTTCTTGTTCTCTCAATCTTATTTCTTTTTCATTTTGCATTTCTTGTTCTCTTAATCTTATTTCTTTTTCATTTTGCAATTCTTTCTCTCTCAATTCTCTAATTTCTCTTTCTTTTTGAATTTCTAACTCTTTTTCTCTCAATTCTCTTTCATTTTGCAACTCTTTTTCTCTCAATTCAAGTTCTTTAAGCCTAACAGGATCAGTATGCTCGACATGCTGGGCTGGCTCCTCAGGCAGAAGTGATTCTGCGACCAAATATTGCAGTACAAAGTTTTTAATTGTACCTTTATTGTATGAGCTTTTGACTGACAGGCCAACATGTTTTGCAATTGCCAGAAGTTCAGTTTTCTTTAAATCATCAAATTCCTCCAAAGAGGGCGCTTCTAAAAATGTCTCAACCTCAAAACTCATTTTCAATTAATTGCTGTCTTCACAATTTGAATGTACAAGTTTTGGATTTTGAATTTAAAATATTTGTATTCTAGCTTGTTGTAGTTGTATCCCGGACGAGCCCCCAATTTCTGTTACGTACGAAAATAACAGAAAGTAAAAACAGCAATTAAAATATGATAACAATATATTTATATTTTGAAAACTAAATAATATAACAATGATATAAAGGAGGTTTAATACTTAAGTGATGTCCAATCAATGATACGGCTTATTCTTGATGTCGATAAATATCCTTGACGATCCTTGAGAATGTTCCAGATCACGAAAGTTTCAATAATCGTTAATAGTTCTCCAGTGTTTGTAATAATCCAATAATGTTCGTCGTAATCCTATAATGTTCGTATACAATAATGTTTGATGATAATCCACAAATGTTTATGATAATCCACGAATGTATATGATAATCCGTATATAGTGTGTGTTGTAATATATGTCCATATAAAGTCCTCAGGTTGTGTGTTTGTAGTGTTATAAATGTTCCCACAGTATGTGTCTGTTATTTTCTGTTAAGAAGATGTCCTTTGATCAACTTTGAAATTCTGCTTTATTTAGTTCCTTTGAGATGTCCAGTTATGATGACTTAATTATCTGCTAATGAGAGCCACTGTGCTGTTCTTTTTATAATGTGAAAGAATGATCCAGAAACGAATCTTCTGGAACTACATCTTGATTGGACATCTTTAGTGACATGACTAAATTTTAATGAATGGTTATAATTTCTAGAACTATCTGGATGGTCAAGGGTTAATGAGTCATTCAGTTCAGTTTTGTTTACAAGATACAGTGTATAATGTCATTGTGACCTTGACCTAAGATCTCTAATAAAGATCAGTTACAGTATATATATAAACTAAACTTAATGTGAGTATAATAGAACATAATACTGTAACACTATACTCTGACATCACATGCCCTCACCAACAACAACAAATAACATGAATAATAAACATGAATGACAAAATGCACCTCCTAGTTAATATTACCATATAACAATTGCAGGTTAAAAAACTGTATTAATTTGTTACAGATGTTTTTGAAATATTAGTATTTCATTTGCCTAGTGTAGTGTAAATTACAGATTTTCTCATAAAGCATAATTACTTTTCAACCTTTGTTTTGAAGTCAATGCATTTTGCCGACCCTTATTGTGCATACCCTATGACAGGACAAATCAATTCAAAGTTCATTTCACAAACAGGAGTACAGAAATCATTATATGAAAAACAAAGAGCAATAAAGAAAGAGACAGAATCTCCCTGAGGCAAATCATTATCTGTCAGCCCTTGCAAAAAGTTGGCAGTATTTCATTCCTCTTGCCTTATTAACATGAATGAGAAACTAAAGTTTCTTCAATCCCCCTCTAAATTGTTTTTCCTGTGAGCTAATTACCACTATACATAACTTTATTCCCAATCAGGCAAGCAAAATTTAATGGTAGATTTAATCCCTAGAAGACCATAATTTGAACAGATTCAGGAACAAGTTAAAAATGTGCTTCTTAATCTTCCTAGTTTATCTTGGTTGAAAGGTGAGACAGGCAATGTGTGGAAGAAAGCCATATGGAACATATGACTAAGTGATAAAAAGATAAGACATCAGCATTCAGCACAGTGTAGTGTTAACATACACAGAAACTACAATATTACAATTTAATGGGGATAATATTATGAAGTTGGAGTTGAGACAGACAAGACAGATGGATAAAAATTCCTAATATTTTCATCATTCATAATCATAACATATCGAAAAATTAGAACAGACATTACTTAGGCATTATATTATCATAGAGTGCTATTTATAGAAAGCAAACATACTACAGAACCAAACACTTGCTTATGCTGAGAGCAGTACTTGTAAATATTACAGTGCAGTAGAGACAGGTTGCAAGTAAAACTACCAGTCAGTCAGTATAATATGGAAGTAATATCAAAAAGAACTAGTATCAAAGCTAACCAGTAACAAACAATAACCAATATGGGATAACCTGCATCAATGGATAATAATGACAAGGGGAACCAGTCTCAAGAACAACAAGCACCAAAAGTAATAAGAATCAAAGGTAACTCGTATCAAATGCAACTTGGTAATGACGAGTGGACAAGCCAAAGGACCAGACCCAAACATGAAAAGACCATCAACTTCAAAACAATTGGATTTATTTCCACTTTTCAGAGCCCTGATAGGCCTGACAACAGTGATACTCTTACTCGTTATTTTCCGCACCCACATTCTTGATAGCATGCAAATGGCACAAAGTGGGTTCTATAAAAACATCCGAAAAGTTTCATACTTGAACAAAATACTTAAAACAATGAGGAAATTGGCAGCGAACTCAACTGAGATGCCTTTCAATACAACCTTATCAAGGACAACATAAGACTACAAATGGTGGAGCTGCAACACAAGTAATGGCACCCTGATATTTAATGGTTATGTAGTGAACTCAACTGAGATGCCTTTCAATACAACCTTATCAAGGACAACATAAGACTACAAATGGTGGAGCTGCAACACAAGTAATGGCACTCTGATATTTAATGGTTATGTAGTGAACTCAACTGAGATGCCTTTCAATACAACCTTATCAAGGACAACATAAGACTACAAATGGTGGAGCTGCAACACAAGTAATGGCACCCTGATATTTAATGGTTATGTAGTGAACTCAACTGAGATGCCTTTCAATACAACCTTATCAAGGACAACATAAGACTACAAATGATGGAGCTGCAACACAAGTAATGGCACCCTGATATTTAATGGTTATGTAGTGAACTCAACTGAGATGCCTTTCAATACAACCTTATCAAGGACAACATAAGACTACAAATGGTGGAGCTGCAACACAAGTAATGGCACCCTGATATTTAATGGTTATGTAGTGAAGGAATTAACAACTACCATCACATCATACATGCTCAACATAAGATATGGTGTGATGATAACACAGATAATGGCATACTGATGAGGATATTCAATGTTATAGATGGAGATATTGATCAATTGTACTCCAACATCATACAGATGCATAGAACAATAGGGAAACTTCTTAAATGATAATAAAATACTATGAAGGATGAGAATCTTTGATTCTATCACAGCTAAAAATTCCCTACCAATCAGACTGCTTATTTAATATTTACTGCTCAGTACTAGGCGATAAATCAAATTGTCTTACAAACACAAAGTTAAAAAACATTGTTCAGCATCAGACAGCATTGTTCCTCTGTAAACTGTATTTCATTATAACTGTCTGGATAACTACTTGGATATACTGTACAAGGATACACTACAACATGTACTTGGATATGTTATCCATAGTACTTGCATATCTTAGGACATGTACTGGGATATGCTAAGATATATACTTGGATATGTTAGGATGAGTTGTCCAGGGGATGAGTTGTCTAGGGAATGAGTTGTTCAGGGGATGAGTTGTCTAGGGGATGAGTTGTTCAGGAATGAGTAGTCTAGGGGATAAATTGGCCGGATACCTGTACTAGGATACACCAAGACATGTACTGGGATATGTTAGGACATGTACTGGGATATGTAAGGACATGTACTGGGATATGTAGGACGTGTACTGGGATATGCTAGGACAAGTACTTGGATATGTTAGGGTGTAAACCGGGATATGCTAGGACATGTACTTGGATATGTTAGGACATGTACTGGGATATGTTAAGGCATTTCCTGGGATATGACAAGACACAATGTACTGGGATATATAAGGACATTTCCTGGGATATGACAAGACATGATATACTGGGATATGTTAGGACATTTACTGGGATATGACAAGACGTGTACTGGGATATACAGGGACATGTTAAGAAATGCACTGCCATACGTTATGGGATATGTTAGAACATACAGAATCAAAGTTTTACCTTTTGTTCATAATGTCAGGTCCCTGAAGTGTGATTTCTACACCTTTCACCTCAGGTTGACTTTTAACAGGACTGCCATGTAATGATGCTATATCTGAAATATATGAAAACCAAATAAATATAAAAATATACATGTCAGTGTTTTCACTCTGAAAAAAATTACATGTTATGAACAGTTATTCTTCAGTTCCTGCTTTTCCCTGCTTTTCCTTAAGTCTCATAAAAAACAATTACAAAGCTATTCACCTTTCCACAAAGTCAGCTCATGAATATTATAATGAGCTGCTTAAAAATCTGGGACGTCAATGAAAAGCAAGTTGAGTTTACATGTAAATCCTCGGTTGATTGCTGTAAGTTTTACCTCTTCAAATGTGCAAGTAATCAGTAAATTATTGACGGATTTTTATTGAACGTGAAATTGACATTTATTTACGCCTTCTATGCGATTTAAATATTAAATTTCTGTTCATAATGAGTAAATAATTTGTGATTCTCACAGTTCTACACCATGTATTACAGCAGAAATGACAAGAGAATTTACTCAATAAATATACTGAGGTATATAACAGCATCTAACTACTCATACATGCTGTGTAATTACCCATCCTCCTAAGCAGGTGTCCAGAATCCGTACCTCCTTCCCCCTGCTATAAGCAATTTTGAAGCGCCCAATTTAACTGAATCATGTGATCTAATCATGCGCAATGACTTATACATGATTTCTGTCGCAGTGTTGCGACAGCCAATCAGATTGCGAGGTCTTAATAGGGGAAATGCTAACTGCTTATCGCAGGGGGTAAAAAGAAAGAATATATTCTGGATTTTGAAGCCCTGTGATCACAGGATGGTCATTACCTTGCACTTAAACATTAATAAATATACATACCTTTGACATCTTCCCAAGTATCAGAATCACTGTCTTCATCACTGTCCATCTCTTCTATATCATCTTGACTCTCAGTCTCAGTAGTATCCGTCTGACTGCAACTTGCACTGCTGAACCCTCTAGACATCTGACTAGAGTTCTCACTGCTCTGACTCTGACTGTACATGCCACCCATCTCATGGTGCAAAAGAACACTCATCACATCTGAGGCATCAAACTTTGCTGAACTATGAGGCACCACATATTCTTTTTTCACTGAGGATTTTTCCAATTGATTTTTATGAGATTTTGGACTCTCTGGATTGTCCTTTTTGATTTTTGGTTTCATGTGTTTGTCTGGTTTTACTTTTACTTGACTGTTCTTGGTATTTTTGACATCAATTTTCCTCTTTTCAGGTTTAAGATGATTGTGTTTTTCAGATTTAACGTTTGTTTTCACAAGGCTTTTTGAGAGGTTTTCATTAGTTCTGTGTTGATCTATTGTCTGTTTGTCTGATGTAGATTTCGTTAAAATGTCAGATTTCTGATTAACTGAATTAGATTTTTTATTCTTTGAAATCTTGGTTGTTCCTTTTGACTTCTGTTCTTGATTTGATTTTAATTTAGACTTTGTAGTTTTGTTAAATGAATCAAAGTCATCATCACTAGCTCCATCTTTAAAATACTTTGAAACTTTTTCTGGTTTACCCTTTCTAGTGTTACATTTCTTGGATCTTGATCTTGCATCAGTTTTGTTGACTCTATCTGTTGTACAGGTTGTTGCAGAATTTTCAACTTTTGTACCCGAAGGAAATAATTTTTTGCTTGAATGTTTTGACCTTGCTGGCTCATGAAAGGATTCATTGCGTTTTAATGATGAAAGTTTTGATGATGGAGACATCTTTGATTCCACAGTATTTACTTTACTCCAAGAATTATCTTTAATATGGTCAGCATTTATGTTACATCCTGAGTCCACTTCATCATGGCTCGTGTTACTTTTAATTTTTGATCCTTTTAAAAAATGTTTTGATTTTATAGCTGGAGGATCTGTTGCCTGAGGTTTTGATGATTTTGTAGTTGTTGAAGAAGGCTTGGGCTTTGATCCTCGAGAAGGAACACTAGGCAGATCATCACCTCTAGGGAGTTTCTTGTGGTGATTTGGCTCTGGTAATGGACTGTTTGCCTCACGTTTCAGTCTTCTGCTATGCCTTGTCGATGACATCCTTCAACTTTGGTTGCTTGATAATCTAAAACAATCAAAATAAATGAAATTCTTTTAAGTTTCATTAGAATTGGCCTACTTTGTCTATATAATATTCAAATAAATTAAAAGGATCACAAAAGTTTCATCAATCTCAAATTTTCCTGACCACACTTCAAGAGAGGTTGGCATGGCACATTGAAAATATGAGGTGGATGATATCCTGTGAAGTCAGAAGAAGTGAGTAGCTCCATCGTTTTCGGGGATTCCCCATTATACAATCTACAATCAAATTGCAGGATGTGATCACATGAACAATCATGAGCACATGCATTCTCAGTGCAAAGTAATATTTGAAATCGTCGAAATGGCGTTTATTTCAGTTAAACATCAGTACAACATCATCATTTCAAAACTACGGTAAAACTATTGGAGTATTCGATCCAAACTCTCAGAGAATACTCATAAAACAGTCATTCCAGATAATAATGCCCCAATCGGTTTTCAGAAAATGTCATACCTTGTTATTTTATGAGGTTATATGTCGACAGCATAATACTAAAAAATTGGCTTTTAGACTCTTTTGGTTTCGTAGTAATTTTGATTTGAAATATGTGGTCCAAATCTAAAGTTTTTGTGCCATTTTAAATTACGTTATAGGTACCATCTTAATTGATTTGAATACTTCTTAATTTATGACAGTGCTACCAAATAAAATGTTTTTCTAACTTAAAGTACAGACATTATGGCACTGATACTTATCAGGAGGATTAATGATTGTTGGCTTTTGAATTTTTTTGCTCAATTACAAATATTTTATATGTTTGTCCTTAATAATAATGTCCTTAAAATTGTAATTTCCATAATGTTTGTCAGTCATTCAATCATTAAGTGTAAATCTTTTGTGACCATTGCCTCGATTTAATACTTTTTAGCAGAGCAAAGGAGTTTATCTGTGCATTGTTAAACACTAATGTTGGATACTGTCATGGTTATCTATTTGTAAAAAAAAACTCAAGCATTGAACATGCCTATATTGTAACGTAGATTAATTGCTGGGAACTGACATTTTCAATTCAATCAGTTGCACAATATAGTGATTTCCAAAGAATTAGCTTGGTCTGTTTTAAATATAAGAGAAACTCATTTTATGAAAACACACTATGTTCATGTAAAATATAGCATTTGCGTACTATATTTAAACGAATGGTAACGTAGACTAACATCTTAGAACATCAGCGCCATGTGTCATTAAATATGATCAAGATGACATTTCAATGAAAAAAACCCAAACCTATTATTACATATTGTGAATAACAATGGTGCTAAATGTACTTGGTATATAGACCCCTCATCCTAGTACTGAATCAGCAAATTTTGGTAACGCTTGTTAAGAAACGGTATAGTCGTCATTAGATAACGAGAGCAAATATATTTTTCAAAGTCTATGCAAAATGTAAACTTCTTATAACAACTTTATCACTCAATTCAACAACTCTAGAAACGTCGCTAAAACAGTACTGTCAACGTAAACTAGTGAATGTTTACAATAAAACATATTTTCAAATCATATCTGTCCAAAATCACACATCAGACGTCATTGTCTCTTGATTCAATTTTGGAGGCAAATAGTTCATCATCAGTTCTGGTAATCTTTCAGGTAACTTGGAATCAAAGCCACTATTTGGCAAAGAACGTTTGCATGTTCTACCCAGAGTACATGTTCTGGCTACCCAAAGTACATCTGGTGAAGGCCACTAAAAATACTCCCGTCTGTTAATCATAAATGATGTTTCGTAGCACGCCATCCACATTAACTACTTTTCCAATGTACCAAGCACCATCATAGACTGAAGCAGTATGATTTTCAATCATGTACATAACAGCTGCTTCATTATCATAGGGTTCGTCTGCGTCACTGCGTCAGGGGTTCATTTTTGCACTTTATGAGGCAAAGCAAGAAACAAACGTTTTTAAGGGGCAGGGTGTGGTATACCCTGGGTATGTGGTACCGCTTAATGTAATGGTGTAACGAAAACATTTTTGAAAAAATTGATATACCTGCACATGTTATTTTATATTGAAAATAAAGTATGATGGCATTTGTGCATTTCCTTGTTTTTCAGGAAAACATAATCATATTATCTTCTTTTGAAAAACTTTGTAAACGGTCCATGGTAACTCAAGTTACTACAGAAACTTTGAGAAAACATTGGAAAATTGAAAAGACGTCCATTTTGAATGTTTTTCATGAAATTTCAGCATTCCCTGGAGTTAAGATTTACCTCTTCCCCGACTCAATAAAAGAAGACACTGTGACGATACTTTCCTGAAATTTCTACGCGCCTTCATACTTTATTTTGTACAAGAAAATAAAATGACCAGGTATTGCAATTTTTTCAAAAATGTTTCTGTTCCACCATTTCCTTAACACGCGCCCTTTCTTTCTGTACTTTTCCCCATCTTTTCTCCTTTCCATTCAATATAGGCTTTTTGAATCACTGCTTTTGATTTACCCATTTTCTGAAAGAATGTTCCCCTATTTGAAACTCTAAATCAAGTCAGAAAAGGATTGACAATCGTTTTAAGTAACGTTACCGAACATAACGTAATTTATCCAACATTTAATATCGAATTTCACCAAATATATTTCAAATTGAAAATTTTCTTCTTGCACCACAAATACCATGTTTCTAATGAATGATGTGCTTCAAAATTATTATCCAAAAATCATTTAAATGTTCTTTACTGAGATTGTGAATGGAGTTGGGTATTTACTTACATATTTTCAACTATTTTGATGCAATTTAGTCGATTGTCAGAGATAATACACAGCTTTGAGTCAACATGGCGCCATAGCGCACCAAAACTAACCATGTGACCCATTGTCATTGTGCTTGTAGTTATATATCAAGTCAAATAGGATTGTTTCGTAAAAAAAGACTCACGTAGTTAAAGGTAACGTTATTTAATATTTGTGACATTTTAATGCGAATCAATTATTAATTCAGTACTAACCGACACAGTAGGGTCTCATATCAAGTCATCCAAGGCTGTAGTACAACATATGTGGAAAACGGTGCCTTCGTTCTTTGATTATGTTTGATATCTGGTAACGTAGTTTAAAGTCCTTATCCATACGTTTCAAAAAATATTTTTTGACAAGTCACAAATGAAATATCTTGGTCAATATATTGAAATTCTGTATATTTCATGAATATTTTATATGTTTACTAGTATTTGATGTTTGTTTGAAGGTAAACGTCACATTGGTATAAGCTCCATATCAGGTATACATGCAACAGGCAGTAACTTTCACAAATCTGGCGACATTATTATAACGTGAAAAAGAAGAGGTTCTTGTTAGTATTTGGATTTGAAACTTTGCATGAATATTTCTTACACATCATTGTTACGCATGAAAATATATTATACGCAGGGCTGTCAACTTGGGACCACCTAATATGAGTGACTTCAAAATGTTGGACACCTAAGTCCAAATCTGAACACTTTTGTCCAAATTTTGAACACCTTTGGCCAACTTTTAAACACCTTTGGCCAAAGTTTGAGCACCTTTGCCAAACTTTCAACACCTCAAATTTTTCGCGCTCGCTACGCTAGCGACATCATCAACGGGGGGGGGGGGGGGGGGGGGGGGGGGGGGTGTAGGTATGAAAAATTTCCAATGAACATGCGTGACACATACGGGATTCGCGTGACAAATCAGGTGACAAGTTCGGTTTTTTCCGACGTTCGTATATTTACCGTATCGTAAACATATTTCGAAAAAATTTCTGCAGAAATATTTTTGCTTGACAATTGCCAGGTAAAATGCGTATTTTGCGTGACATTTTCTGTCACGCAAAAAAAACTGGCGTGACTTCAAATTCTTCAGCAAATGCGTGACAAATACGCAAATTGCGGGACAGTTGACAGGCCTGTATACGGATTGTGATAAATAAAATTAATCTGTTTTCTTCCATATACCTAAAAATGCATCTTGGCGACAATAACGTAATTTAAGAATTTCTGACTTTAAGGTACAGCTGGAAAGTAGCATTTTGGTAAAAAATTGCTATACCTGCCCATGTTATTTTCTGGTACAAAATAAAGTATGAAGGCATGTGTCAATTTCCTTGATTTTTTCAGGAAAGTATCATTACATTGTCTTTTAAGGTTCAGCTGGAAAGTAACATTTTGGTAAAAAATTGCTATACCTGCACATGTTATTTTCTGGTACAAAATTAAGTATGAAGGCATGTGTGTATTTCCTTGCTTTTTTCAGGAAAGTATCACTACACTGTCTACTTTTAGTAAACCTGGAAACAGGTCAATGGTAGCTCCTGTGTTGTCTGGAAACTTTGAAAGAAAATTTGGAAAAATAGAAAGTGTGAAATATCAGAATTTCTTGGAGTTCCCATTGAACTCCTACTAGATATTCTTAAAGAAGACAATGTAATGATACTTTCCTGAAAAAAGCAAGGCAATTGACACATGTCTTCATACTTTATTTTGTACCAGAAAATAACATGTGCTGGTATCAAAGTCATCACTATCAATCTACCTTTAGTAATAGAAGAGAAAAGTCCGAAAGCTCTTTGTCAGAATATTTACCGGAAGTGTTTATATTTCCATTTATCCTTCAAACTGTGACATTTATGCTTATATTTCGACATATATATGATTCTTACATACCAATACGATCAAAAAGGTTACTAACATACCAAATGAAAGGTGATTTCCTGGTCAAAAATGCAAAAGTTGGTCCAAACTCACACTCAATCCCTCCACTCCCTCCAATACGCATGTGCAGCGATGTTAAAAATAAGGCCGTGACTGGAGAGCCTACATTTTAAGGTTCTTTAGCACTTCGGCCAAAGAGCCTTTAAGTTTATGCATGTACAAGCCACTCTAGTATATTTAAATGGTATAGATATAATATGTTATGAAACATCAGATTTTGGATTATATGTACAGATAAAAGAAAATTGTTTCTACAGTATAATGGTAAGGATATTTCATGTGCAACTTGGATTAGAGCATTTAAGTGCAAAGTAGATACCATTGGAAATATATTCATTGGAAAACATTACACAACGTACTGTACGCCCGGTATTATTCGCGAGCTTTAATTTCGCGAATTTTGCGAAAACACGGTTTCGCGGCTATTAAATTTCGCGAATACTGTATTTTATCGTGTTCGGGGATTCCCCAGTATATGATGTCCAATCAAATTGCAGGCTACGATCACGTGAACAATCGTGCGCACGTGCTCTTTCATTGCCGCGCATGCGCATAGTAAAGTCATGGAGTTGCACAGTACTATTGAAGTACTATAACTCGATCCAAACTAGTAGACAAAACGAAATGCATCAGAGCCCCGGGTAAAAACAAATTCCCGGGGATTTAATTGGCAATTTCGCGACGATAATTTTTCGCGATTTTAACACCCTCGCGAAAAGCGCGAAAGTTAATCGCACGCGAATAATACCGGGCGTACAGTATATCCATGTAATGAGATTTTAAATGGTTTTAGAATTAGAGATATTTCTTTTTAAAATTGTAATGTAATTGACAATGTTAAACATAATTTTTATGAGTGTACAAAAATAAGGGATATATGGAAATTTTTTGATAATATCACTTTTGATCAAATTATAGGAATAAATAAGTATAAGAATTATAAAGAAGTTTTAATAGCCAGGAGGGAAATACAAGTTTTCAATAGAGACAAAACTGGAAGTATACATGCATATTTTGAAAATGAAAAACTGTACAGAAATTAAACAATGTAACTGGGTCTATGTATAATTATATTATTTATATATGTTTTATTATTGAAATATAGATTTTACAAAAAGAAAACACACTCTAGTTTTGTGGTTATGGCGTTCGCCTAGTACTCCCACGGTGCAGGTTCGATTCCATGTTGGTACAATTTTTTTCATTATGAAGTTCTCTGAGGTCCGGATATTATGTACACAATTTTTTAAAAATATTGTTAAATTCTAGATACAGCACATCATGATGCAGTTTATCGGGAATGCTGTGATCTCCGCACAATATGATTCACCAGGCGGCCCGCCTGGTTGAACATTTCCTGCGCCTAGTTGGCGCCTGGTTGAAACATTTCCTCAGCCTTAATGACTGACTATTAATGTTGATCGGGTACTCCAAAATTGTCACTTTTGGGACCTGATTTCAAGTCTAAAATACAGGTTATTGATGCTATATTTAGCTCTAAAACTTGTTATACAATAAGATTGGGTTTGGAACTCAACAAATGTAGCAATAAATTATCTCTACCTTATCTAATTACACTTCGATTCAATAAAATGCAAACCAGGAAGTGTTTTGTATTCACAATTAATAAATGTTGATCGGGTAGTTACTGCCGATCAACATTAACAAAATCTTGATTCGATGAAATGAAGGGCTGTCTTTATCCCGTTCCCGGACTATGGTCCTGTGAACATCTCAATCTTTTGCCTGTGCGATTACAACATGGGAGAATTTTTTACTGATCTTACACTTCAGATACCTACTTCAATAGATTCCTTGGTAATTTAGCATTCTTTTCGTGTAGTTGAATCCACAATTGTCTGGGTTTATCGGCAGAACAAAGACATTTTCGTTTTTGATCGCAATATTTGCGTGTAACATTTAACTTATTTCAACCGTCAAATTCCTCCATATTGGTACTTCCGGGCTACATCCGGGACAGCCAAACGGGGGATTCCCCTTTTAAATCCAACCGCCATTTTGAAAAGTGATGGAATCTCTCTCGATGAAAAAGAGAAAATGTTCCCGTTCTGCCGATATACCCAGACAATCGGCGGTTCCAATATATTAGAAGTTACATCTTGAGTTCTATAATGCATTGAGGTAGGTATCTTAAGTGTAAGGGGCGTAGATAATTCTCCCAAGTTGTAATCGTACAGGCAAATGAATGCGATCAGTGCAGGACTATAGTCCGGGAACGGGATTAGGCTGTCTAACCTCTACGAGGACATCTCAAGTGCTGCAGACAATACAATAATTAAAATCTTAATAATCTCAACTGAAAACCACATTTCAAGTGTAAAACCTGCATAAACTGAGAGAAGACAGAAAGCAGAACTATCTCACAATGAATAGCATGGGAATATCCTCCCTTTATATTTTGTCTAATTGTTTACATAAAGTGAAATCTGACTAGGGAAGGACAATCCCAATATTCTATTATATGGCTGTGAGTGTCCTCCATTAGACAAGCTCAACACAAAGACAGAGATCATTCTGTCAATCAACTAGACAGCACTCAAACATTAGAGGGGATTTTCAAGATCACAATAATATCAGCAACCTGTTTCTCAGTTCAATGTTTCTCCTGAATAACTGCAGAACAAGATTTGAGATAATTAGAAACTAATGCATAAGAGTATCCCTGAAAATGAATCCTTGAAGGTTGAAATTTTCCAACAAATTTTACGATAGGGGCAAAGTAACTCTGTTGCTACTATACTCATAAAAAAGTTTGACAGGACCAATTTTAAGCCCCAACAAAAATGGCAACAGAGAAAAATTGAGTTTTAGTACCCTGTATTGCTATTTCATTAATGGTTATATTTCAATGGGTTATGAAGAGCTATATTGATTAAGTCAGCAGGGGTATAATTGGAAAAATGCGAGCGAAGCGAGCGACGAATTTTTAGGCCGACAAAATTTTGCACCCAGTTGGGAAAAAATCCTGGGGAGAACACTGGAATGTAAGGACATCAGCCCGGGGACATCAGAGAATACACTTCCAAATCTATTGCCTATTAGATTCCCATGCCGATTTTTTAGGATTTTCAAATGACAAGAGGCACAAAATATTTTTTCAATTTTTTGCAAAAACTTCCCCCTCAAAAGTCCTTCATTTGTATCAACGTTTTTTTTTTAGGCTAGCCTCCAATTGGGCATCACTAAATGTGACCTCAACACCATTCTCCCAAGGGCCTATTCTAAATATCAAAATCTTTACTGATTAGTAAAATTGAACAAGTATATGACTGCTCCAAGTTGCAGCACCACGAAGGTTACTGAACCTTTAAAAAGCCAAATTTAGACTGAGGATTGAAAAGGTTCTAAGAACTTTTTTTCGGTAGACCGGAAGTAAATTTACGAGTCGAGTAAAAAGTGATAATGTTCTTTTTATGAAGTGGGGAAGTCAAAACAGTTCTTATAGGAAGTCAAAGTAAGCATTCAAAGATCATTTAGAGGCATTTAAAATCAAATCCACGGCAAAATTGAAATGACTAAAATCGTTGTATGTTTCCTTCGTTTTCTTCGCGGACCTCAGAGAAGACACTTCCGGTTTAATAATCGGTGAGTTTATCGATCAAAAAATATATTTTTATGAATATCTCCGGTATCTGCAAATATAGTATGTTAATTTGTGTTGATTGTTAAATTACAAAACATATGTCAAAATCGTTTGATCTCGTCCCAGAAGAAATATTTTGTCATTTCCGTCACTTAGAATTCCTTTAAGGCTGGCTCTATAGCAAAATTGGCAATCAAAATGCTAAAGAGCCTTAAAATTTAAGGCTTTCTAGCCGAAATGCCAAAGAACCTTAAAATTTAAGGCTCTTTAGCCAAATGGGTTACCAAAATGCTAAAGAGCCTAAAATTTTAGGCTCTCTAGTCACTGCCTTATTTTTTACATGGAGCTGCACATGCGTATTGGAGAGAGTGGATGGATCGGTAAATATTGTGACAAACAGCTTTTGAACTTCTCTCTTATATTACTAAGGGTAGAGTATACCATTGATAGTGCTGACTGTGGCTGGTATAGCAATTTTTTACCAAAATGTTACTTTCCAGCTGTAAGGTTCAGCTGGAAAGTAACATTTTGGTAAAAAATTGCTATACCTGCACATGTTATTTTCTGGTACATAATTAAGTATGAAGGCATGTGTGTATTACCTTGCTTTTTTCAGGAAAGTATCATTACACTGTCTACTTTTAGTAAACCTGGAAACAGGTCAATGGTAGCTCCTGTGTTGTCTGGAAACTTTGAAAGAAAATTTGGAAAAACAGGAAGTGTGAAATATCAGAATTCCCTGGAGTTCCCTCTGAACGCCTACCAGATATTCTAAAAGAAGACAATGTTTTGATACTTTCCTGAAAAAGGCAAGGAAATTGATACATGCCTTCATACTTTATTTTGTACCAGAAAATAACATGTGCAGGTAGAGCTCTATAGCAATTTTTTACCAAAATGTTACTTTCCAGCTGTACCTTAACTGATTGTGACAACACATATGTGGACAAATGGAGCCAAACTGAACCATTCTATACAACCATAATGATTAACACTACAGGCACAGTGTTATTTAAGAGAAAATACACGGCGACAGAAAAATTGTGATTGGGGCATTACTATCTGGAATGACTGAAAACACAAGCGAACATTGAGAGATCTATTTCTGAATGGCAAATGAGGCCTGTTGATAAAATTGGTTATCGAACGTGCCAATATGAAAGGTGATCTTTGGGAAATCTCCCCCCCCCACCCTGCTTTGAATCCTGGTTTTCAAACTCATTCTGAGATAAGTAAATTGCATGTAAATTTCAGAATAAGAATCATACATTGAAAGTAAAACTTACTGTGAACTGAAACACCTTAGTTTGACAAGTATCCTCTCACCAATACTGTAGTGTATAGTGCAGTTATAGTATCCAAAGCATTGCTTTACTTTTCATAACAAATGTGCATGTTTTTAGAAAAACTTATGCAAGTGACACGCCCCAAATTAGTATTTCAGATATATTGAACTTGTATCAAAACAAAACATAAGGTGGGTTTATTGCTTAGTAGAAATAATAATTGATCAAAAAGCACTAGTGGTGATACTATTTTATGTTTATTAATGGTTTAGGACAAGAGCTCTGATCCGATGAGAATTTCATATGTGGCGTCTCAAACTCCGGGACTATCTTTGACCTACTTCAACTTTTTCCAAAATATTCAAAATTCTGAACAATTCTACTCATTACTCCCTTATCACGATACTGATTTCGATACTGTATGACCATTTGAGTAAGACACATAATGAGGTATTTCAGTAACGAGTATCCACCTGAGGCAAGCGGCAAAAGCGTTGATATCAACCCGGAAGTTCTCAATCTGTATATTTCAGACATCACCAACCAAATCGCTGCAAAAGTGAAACCATCACAAGGGAATTGTGATGGAGGGCTTTACGTGGGCTGTGCAGGTATAGCGTATGCCATGTACTATGTTACAGAAGCTAATACTCTACCAGAACACAGAAGCGCATTATTGAAACTTGCCTCAAATTACATAAATGCTTCGCTGGAGTACATACACGATAAACATAATAGAGACACTCCTTCTGCATTTTTATTGGGCCACGCTGGAGTATATGCAGCAGCTAGTCTACTATCAAAAGCTTCTGGGGATTCAAAAACAGCTGGAATTTGGAACAAAAAGTTTGCAGAGTTGGCAGTAATGTGTACCCCAGAAAACTTTTTGCGCTGTGGCTCAGATGAATTTCTTGTTGGACGAGCTGGTTACCTGTATGGATGTTTGATGTTGAACAAATCCTTTGGGCAGGTTGGGACTTTATTTGTTTCCTCATATTTGTAATTTGAAATATATGCATAATACAAATATAGTCGGAGACATTAATAAACCTCAACCATCAAATGTATGACCTCTTGAAAATTCTCTTATTTTTAACATGGGAAATCCTCACTTCAGCAAATCCATGTTTCATTATTTTTGTTCCAAACTGTAGTTTTGAGATATGTGACAGAATGTCTTTTTCATAGTGTTATTCATTATTTATGTTCACCACTTTATGTATTGCAAAAAAAAATGTCATCAAGTCTAGTCACTATTTTAAAATCCATCAAACTCAATCAATAAATGAATATAAAATACTAGTAATCTACAAATAATTTAAGGTGGTCCCAAAAGAAGCTATACATTCACTATGCAGTTCAGTGGTTCAGTCTGGCCGTCATTATTCGGTGAAACATGATTCTCCATGTCCTCTGATGTATGCTTATTATGACACAGAATACCTAGGTATGTTGAAGTTTCATGAATTATTGCATAATGATTTTTTATTTAATCTTAAAATTAGTTTTATCATAAGTATTGGTAAGTATTGGAGGTCCCAGAGCATTATGCCCCTAATTGAGAAGTCTTTTTTGTTTGTATTGTGGACAACAGATGACACATGAATGTCCTCTGTCTTAAATGTTTTCATTCACTCAGTTTAAGTTATGAATACTTATTATATTATTTTGAGCATGATTGTAACTATGATTTTTTAAGATATAAATTATACAATCTTACCAGTTAATTCTGTATTTTCCAGGTGCTGCACATGGGCTATCAGGTATCCTACAAATGCTTCTGTGTTTCCCTGACTTTGTGAAGAGTGATGCTAAAATTGAGGCTGACATCCGTACATCTGTTGACTTCATGCTACAAATCCGCCAGCCCAATGGTAATATTGCACCAGCCATGGATGAAGTGTATAGCAGACAACAGAGGCCAGCCAGTGAGGAGCTAGTACACTGGTGTCACGGTGCTCCTGGTAAGTATAGAATATAATTTAGAAAATACTCAAGTTAAAATGTTGGATAAAATGTCTGCAAAATATTCTTACTATTACTGAGAAATGTCTAAAAGTGGTCAAAATATTGATACTTTTCATTATGTTTTTCTTCATCGTTGCAAATTGATTGTATCAGTAGCATGCATCGTAATTTTGGAATTCTCATTTAACTGAACTAAATGAATACTTTTGACAAAATTTTGCTCACATATTAATGCTCCTTATGCATAGAAAGTAAGAAAATTTGTGATTGGATAATGCTCTAAAATTATGAACACATTGATTAGCATGTTTAATAGATTTTATGTAGATGTATATTCATATTTCCAGGTGTTGTGTACTTGTTTGCCAAAGCCTACCTAACCTGGGGAGACCAGAAATACCTGGATGCTTGTATAAAGTGTGGAGAGCTCACCTGGGGGCAGGGTCTACTAAAGAAGGGGCCTGGAATTTGCCATGGGGTAGCAGGTAGTGGCTATGTCTTCCTCCTGTTGTACAGGCTCACCAATAATCCTGTGTATCGCTACAGAGCTGAGAGATTTGCAGAGTTCATGCAGACATCAAAGTTTAAGTCTGGTGCCAGAACACCAGATTCTCCATACAGCTTATATGAGGGACTCGCTGGGACAATGTGCTTCTATACGGACCTGTTACAGCCTGATAAGGCACATTTCCCCATGTTTGATATCTTCTAAATATGTATAGAATCTCATATGGATACGGAATCACATCCTAATGAAACTGTTGAACACTATCACAGCCTGGAAAATTTCATGATGGTATTTGATTCAAGTTGCTATAGTTACAGCTTTGCATTAAATGTACTGTGCTTTGTGCAATCAGGTATTTATATATTATATATACGTTAATAGGGAATGTTGCAAAGCATTTTTCAGCCATATAATGGCATGCTTTGCACCCTAACACTTGCCAAAGGGAGCTTAGTTACTGCAATAGTGAGTGACTGATTGAGCATTGATGAGCTCTAATAATAGGTGAGGAAAATAAACAAAGTATATAGCATTATGGAAATGCGTATAACACTGTGGCTAGTCGATCTATGTGGATGCAGTCATTTATATGCAATGTATCGTGGGTGCTCGCCTCTATACTTTTCAATGGAAGAATTTTGCACTTCTGTTTAAATAATCTATATTTACTCATTCATGTATATCATACTTCATTGATTTACAAAACCAAAGCTACGCTATAAACACACATTCTCTGATATTTTTATGGAGAATAAATAACTCAAACGAGTTCACTCGACCAGTTTTATCATCTCGCTCATAGCTGTGAGAAGGTATGTATAATTTGCCATAGGTTTACCTTATAATGGGGAATAAAAAATTTAAGTAATATAATTATCTCACGTACACGAATATGTCTGTGTGAAGTAAAATACAAATACAATGCGTTTTATAATATTTTTGGGGTTATGGTATGAAATATCCGCTTTAAAAAGCAATTTAATTATGATGTATCATGTGGATTAGTAGACGTTCTTAATGGATTCAATGAACAGACTGGCTAGGTTTTAATTGAATCATTTTTAATGTGTGTATTTTTAATATTTTAATCCACGGTGTCCAAAAATAATAATAATGCTATATTGGTAATTGGAAAGATTCCACTTACCACGATTTCAAAATTTTTTTAAATAGATCATATTATTCTTGAATTTGGGTCATTTGTTTCAAGGAATCTGTAGGCTCGTTCTGCTGAGCTGACAAAATCATCAAGATTTACGGATGGTCCATCTATTGACTGCTCATTGTCACTTTTAAGGAATGTTAATGGCTCTGAAACTTGTAGCCTTGCCCAAGTCGGTATTTATTTACTTATCTGATCTTGAATGATTACCACCTTGTACAATCCAATGCATCATCGCTGATATTATGCTAAGTTATTCAGCCGTTCCGAGATTCCCATAATACCTACGCTACCTAAGGGTTTCGCGAAACCTTATTGATTGACAAGATCGCATGGACACGACGTGTGACTTCAGGCTGATTGATCAATCTAAACGTTATCTGATCTGATCGAGTGTTTTTGAGAGTTACAATATATTATGTTATTAAATGTACATTGGAATGTAAATTTAGCAGTCATTACTACTCGTATAAATGAAATCATGCAATTCAATGTTGATTCAAAATCAAAACTGAATTCGCGATGGAAATGCATGAAGACCCAGTCCGGCAATGTAGGGCCGTCGTTGATTTGTCAAAGGAGGAGGGAAGTTAGCGCAACAGATTTTGGACAGTCATATGTTTGATTTTGGCCATTTCCTTGGGATTTAAACAGGTGCATATGTTAGGCGAATGCATTACCTCCAGGAAAATCACTTCTAGAGATGATAAAATAATTTCGACTTTGAGACAGGGTAGATGCAAACAACCCACCCACATGTTTTTTCTGAAATGTTTTCCTAATTTTCGACCTCTTCCATCCCTGCTTTTTTAATTTTTCTTGCATCAATATGTTGCATTTTGACACATAGTTAACCACTTTAAAGGAATAAGTGATTCCTTCAGGGGTTTTAAAGATACCCATTATGGGTGACCAAACTTAGCTGAAAGCAATGATTTTTCCTATGGGAAAATAACATGGGAAATATTGTTTTCCACTTTATCTAAAAGGAATCATTTATTCCTTTTAAGGGATTAACTGTGTGTCAAAACGCAACATATTGATGCAAGAAAAATTTAAAAAGCAGGGATGGAAGGGGTTGAAAATCAGGAAAACATTTCAGAAAAAACAAGTGGGTGGGTTGTTTGCATATACTCTGTCTCAAAGTCGAAATTATTTTATCATCTCTAGAAGTGATTTTCCTGGAGGTAATGCATTTGCCTAACATATGGACCTGTTTAAATCCCCAGGAAATGGCCAAAATCAAACATATGACTGTCCAAAATCTATTGCGCTAACTTCCCTCCTCCTTTTACCGACAAAAACATTGGGTCGGTAAAGCACGTGGCTTTCTCTTGGGTACAAGGCGGTCATAATAGAAATCAATATAAGTAAAAAAGACCGACTTGGGCAAGGCTATGAAACTTGATTTGTGGATATTCCAGTGGGTTGATGGGTCTTTGGCTCTGAATTCACTTCATTGGCGTACCTGATTTCAACATTTTCATTGTCATCGTTACATGTTATGGACCCGTTTTTCAAATTAACAGTATTAGGGATAAAACCATAGTTTTTTCATCTGTAATGGCATTTTCCAATTGATGGGTTTACATATACATGTAGTATTTTCAATTCTTCATGAGGGTGTCTTGTAATGGTGTGGCTAATTACTTTACTGAATGAGGAATGTTTATACAAACAATGGATACAAAGAAAATCTGGCCAGTTGTCCATCAGTAAATAAATCATCATGATAAAAGTATAATTTATTATAGCATCCATTTGTTACCGTTCTGGATCCAAATGATACATAGTGGCATCCATTTTATACATATATGTTGACGTTTACGAAATGTTTTTCAAATATCTTCCCTATAACAGGAATATGATAGCTGAAACTTTCACACATTGTGATACTATGCATATTGAATATGTATGCACGATGTCAAGTCACAATGTTAAGTAGAAACTCTGAGATCACTTATTTCGATTTGCTGTCATATTTTTGCAATGATCCCATTCCCTATAATGTACGCGAGTGCCCACGATACATTGCATATAAATGACTGCATCCACATAGATCGACTAGCTACAATGTACGAGGGGTGATCCAAAAGTCTTGGACGACCCGCTCTAACTTTGCTATTTTCTAATATAATTACATGAAACTTTCAGATAATTAAGATCAACATCTTAACAACTTTGTGTATAAGTTTCAACAGAAAATAATATGTTTTGGCTACTTTTCTAAATATTTTTTGATACCGGGTCCCTACCACCCGGAACGGTATTTAGATATAGCTAATCATGTCACAGATGTTATAAAATGGCAAATACTTTAGGTGCAGGTACACAACCTTACACCAGTCATGATATGAGAGAATTTCCGATTTTCAATCTGAGTGTCATCTGCCATCATCATCTTCACATATTAAGACCTACTTTTCAACATATTTTCCACAAAATTGAACACATTTATCGTATCGCTTTACCAATGAATGAAGACATTTATGAAACCACCATTGCTTATGTGATACAAATGCTGCTGGAGTGCCACTCTAAACCTCATCAAATGAGTAAAAACATTCTCTTTCAACCCTCCTTTCAAATTGGAGAAAAGGAAGAAAATCACACGGAGCCATATCTAGGCTGTATCGTGCATATAGTAGCTGCTCAAGGTCAATAATAGTGAAAATATCCTGTAGTATTCTTTGTTCCACTTTTATTTCTGTCACGTTCTGCATTTCAGTAGCCATCTTGCAGCAAAAATGATACCAGAATGAGGGTTGATTGTCTGATGTCATTTTCTTAGAATTTGACATATATGGCCATTGTCATATGTGACATTATAACTAAAACACAATTAATTGGTTGCATAGTAACAAAGGAAGTAAACTAACATGGTTTAACATTCAAAATTCAAAGAAAGATAGTGGTCAAGACTTGTGAAACAAGTGAAATGGCAGCAACATTTAAGGCTGAAAGTTGCCATGTGCGAATACCGTTCCGGGTGGCAGGGTCCCTATATTAAAAACTATCTTGAAAACTACATAAAATGTATCATTTCTCCATGAAATCAATACACAAAGTAGTTAGGTTGTTGGTCTTTATTATTGGAAAGTTTAAAGTAATTTTATCAAAAACCAACAAAATTAGAGCAGGGCGTCCAAGACTTTTGGATCACCCCTCGTATAATGACTTTCCAGAGTTTTAGTTGAGATTTCATAAATATTTTCATAAAATCTTTAGAGGCCCGATGGTTCATACTGTATTTCTACCTTATTTGACAGTTTCTTATTTAGTGATTAGCAATTTTCTGAGTAATATACATGTTTCTTGGAAACGACATCAGTGACACATTGATAGTCCTTATTAGATTACCTTAATTTCAAGCCTATTTACACAAACTAATTATATTGCAGTTAGTAAGAAATGTACAAATGCAAAAGATATGTTTTTTAAATATTTATTTGCAAAAATTACATAATCTCAGTTGCATATGTTAAAAGCAAAAATAAATTGTTTCATAAAAATATTAACAATGTTATTGTAGATTTATTTGCAATGTTTGTTCTAAAGTCTGGGCCTTAGCATTGTAAAGTATAAAATCCCTTTACATTTATTATCCATTGACTGCCAGAACATTTACTTTAAACACCCCCACATTCCTTATCATCTCTTTATCCATTTCAAAACTGTTTGATTGTTCAATTAGAGTACAAAATACATTTATTTTTCATACAAAATTATTAATTTAATACATTGAACTTTAAACCGGGTTCAATATTACACTTTTCAATCATTGAGCAATGCACATCCTAAATTGCACATGAATATTTACAATAACATAACAGTCCTATACTATAAAGATTAGTTTAATAATCATAAAAGTGATGCTGGGAAAATCATATATTCCAAAATGCGTATTTACATTAGATTCATCTCCAGGTATTAATAGAACTACTGTTTAACACGATAAAGCTACATGGAATTTTAAAAATCACAGACACGTTGAATTCATAAATCCACGGTAACTCCAAATGGTTCATTATTGAAAATATTGATTTAGTCTTGTTAGTTGTTGAAATCCATATCATAAACCCATTACATTTTGTATTGCATGTTGTAGTGATTCTAATGAAGCATTTGTATGGGAGTCCAAGTAGTGAGCTATATAACAATATTTAGGCCAGTATAGCCCACTTTCATTTTCTGTTTACTGTATTACCATGACAACATTTTGACATAGTGTTTCATTTCTACCAAATTTTTCTCACACACATATGAATGACATCATTGATATTAGAAGCCATGGAAATAAGAGCCCATGTAATACATCAGTTATGTAACCATGAAGTGAAACACGCCTTCGTTCTTGCCAAAATAGAAGGCCTCCCAAGGGCAGTTTGTATTGGCAGAACTCAGGCATATTTCATGTCATAGTTGAATAAAGAATTCATGTATATGCTATCTGTTCCTATTATATGGATGGAGCTATTCATACAGTATTAAACCTTCCAAACTAGACCATCAGTGTACATCATATATACATATACATGTAGTCATATCTACAAATATATACACTTTTAGTGGTGTATCAGGCATAAAATGCTAGTATATATTATGTATTATGTCTGGAAGGCATCTATGTGCACATTCAGTGAATAAAGGCCCAAATACTAAAAACATCATCTCATAAGCACCATTTTAATATTTCAGCTGAAGGAAGCAATGTGTTTTGATAAATGTCATCTATTGTAAACCTGGTTCATTTTGACGCTAATTTGATTGCACAGATTCTATTGCTTTGAGAATTTTCTCAGACTGGAAATGTTCAAGTGACATGTATTATTATTATTGCCATGAAACTTATTTTCAAATACCTTCAATGTAAAAATACTGGCAATATTCATGACAGCCAGTTGTAAAGAATTGAATGAGTGGTATTTTTCAAACAATTTTGGAGAAAAGGTCATTCTTCAGTGAACTGATTTATACAAACTTCATTTTAGTGGTTTTTGATAAAACAAAGCATATGATGCCTCTTCTATAAACATAAGATTTGCATGATGTGATAGCATTTAAGCATTATTTCAAAACCACAAAAATAATAAATCAAAAGCAGTGAAATGAACCAGGCCTACAGTAGCCGTAACATTCAATTATTTTGCTTGCATTGGAATATCTGCAAGAGCTTTGATGATATCGACATAGATGGGTATACCCTCCATGAAAATGTCCTCATTTAGAAACTCATTGTGGTCATGCAGTAGTATAGGAGTCTTGTTGATTGGTGAAAACCCAATTGCGGGATAACCCAACTGGAAATGAAATGCGCTTTACATTAAAATATTTTATTTTTGTGTCACAGATTAAAGGACGATTCTCGGTTTGGAGAACAGTCTCCTGGGCTAATAATTTTTTTCATGAAAATATAGAAATATTACCCAAATTAAACTATGAATATTCAAAAGAGGAGATTTAAATCTACAAGATGTAAAAATAACAAATTGGTCTGAAGCAGGGATAACGCTCAATTAGACCGATTCAATAAAATACAAGTCTCGATTTGGGGAAAAAAGTTCATCAGTGTACTGCGCTAATATTCTTTTGCGAAAAATCTAGAAATATTACCCAAATTAAATTATGACTATTTAAAAGAAGATATTCAAATCTATAGGGATAATGCTCATTTATATCGATGAACTTCGTTCTCCAAACCGAGAATCGTCCTTTGCCATGCTTTTAAGAGGAATAAAGAAATGTTTTTGTTTGTAGATGTTGTTTAACAATTTAAATTGTTGAGAGAAATTAAGAAAGCCTAAAAATTGAGATATTTACAGATGAAAAGTCATCAATTGTGGTGGTGACATGAAAAAGATTTTCCAGGTAGAAGTCTTGAATAGCTGTTTATAATCATGTTCATTTGTACTTTCAATAGTTCAGGTAAATGCATGAGTCTACATTAATTGTGAGTCAGGGAGTCTTTACCTCTCTAAGGAATCTGCTATCTGTAGCAGCTGGGAAGATCTCCTTCTCCAAAACCATGTTCCTGAAGAGAAATATTCATAGTATACAAAAACTTGAGGATATGTTCAAGATTTTGATTATGGGTACTGAAACCCCCACAATGTTGAGTGCAAATGTTTTGTATGTTCCAATATTATAGCTGATTGAGGAGTTGAGTTAATAACATTAAAATATCATTGAAGTGGCTCAACCAAGTGACTGATCCTGTTCTTAAATTAAATTAAACCAGAACAATATGTAACTTGCCCCATCAATGAATTAACCACCTTTTGAAAATTCCAAAAGATGTAAATATGCGTTTTTGTTAACTTGTTAGCATTTTTGTTTAATATTCTATAGCAATCTCACTGTTAAAGCCAATAAAAAGTAAATGAAATGTATATTCACCTTTTCTTACAAGCATCACTGAAAGTTCTCCACCAGACATCATTCTCACTAGTTGATGTGAGGGTTTGGTCTGTATTTTTCTATAAACACCAATATTATACAAATTAGATTGTTACTTTTAAACCATTAAGTCAATAAAAGATTTACTTATTAACCACTGTCTACAAAAAAGTTGGAGGCTAATATGACACCACTTCCTATGGTGACATAAAACCTGTTTTAATCGAATACCTCTTCTGCTTCTAAAAAGTATTCCACTTAAGGAGGTGTTCCACTTAACTGAATATGAAACAGCTTCTCACTTATGATAAAACAAATGTCTAAAATGAGCATAAAACGGAGGCTACAAACCTGAATGAATTCATAGCTGATACCATCCCCAGCATCTTTCAGCCATCCTCTTATTGTCTCCTCAAACTGTTCCATATCCACTGTAGGGGCCACTCTAATGTCAAAGCCTGCAAAGAGCTCTGTAGGAACCACATTGTATTGCACTCCACCCTGTAGTTAAAAAAAACACAGACTGAAAAATATTGCGCAAAATGGAGGACTTTTAGGGGTTTCTGTACTTAACTTCCAAAGATAACATTAATAAGAGAAAATCAATAATAATCTGCATTGAGCAAAACCTGACCAATCAGACTGCCACCGAGACTGGCCTAGAGTGTTCAGATAATCAGGTGTTCATTTCAAGATTTTTTAGTAGGCCTATGTGAATCGATGGGAAATCTGATACTGAGAAAAAGTGTTCACATAGAGATTTTCTGTCTATGATATTTTGAATAATGTACCTCTAACATTGTCATATTAAGAGTTGTGACGTCACCCAGCTTTAAACAGGCATTAGTATTCAATCTGAAAGACATTGAAGTCAAAATTCAGTATAAGATTAAAAACAAGCTCATTCAGTCCATTATATTAAAAATGGAGTTTAACCATGTTTAAGGTTCGAGTCCATTGCACTCCATAATCAAGAACTTTGATTTTGAATGAAAAAATTGTGAACTGTTTATTTGAAGAAGTGTTAACCTAAAATGCAAATCTAAAAAATTGGTATCTAGAAATTTTTAATGCATTGTATGGAAAAGAGCTATCTTAATGTACATATCTTATATATTTAATGTCTTTAATTCTAAATCGAGAATGGATATAACTTAATAATGTCAGTTCCAGCTTCAAACATTTTGATTTTAACACAATTGTAGAAAAATATAATAATCATAAATATACATACTTTTTCTCTTCTTCCTCTCTGAAATTCAGGAAGGAATTTATCACTTTCCTCTAAAATTATAAAACAACATCCAGTTTTATTTGTAAATCACTCATGAAATTTATGAATTCATGAATTTATGAACTCATGAATTAAACTCTCCGATCATTCCATGTTAAAAGGAGGGGTCTAGTATGGAGATAATGTTTATTCACGCTACAAATATGGTTAATAACACATCATGTTTTTATAAGGTACATCAACTTATAACTCTCGACTCTAGCTTCGTCAAGATTAGGAATAAAGTCCTTCCCAAAAATTCTAGAACAGAGAAATTCAGGAATCTTTTACAGACTTCAGGGTGTCCTGACTCCACCATGATGAACTGAGTACAATATAGCAGCATATAGTATGATAGAAGTACAGTGCTCACCACTTTCTCAGCAGCTGTGTTCTCAATGAATCTGGAACCATGTCCTGGGTTACCTGTGCATTTCACTCGGATCCCTAGAAAAAGAATAACACTTTATTTCCTGTATATGTAATGTACCTCTTTTGGATCAAACGAATATTATATTTTATTGTTGTAATTTTGTTTATTTGTAAATACATGTATGAATGTGAAGAGAATTTCAAATGAATGGGCTCTGGGGCTATCTATGAGCTGAGAAAATAACAAAATGAATACAGTAAAGCACTTTGAAATAATCTGATAAAAACGATATCTAACAGTATTTCTATTATGCTTCTATGCTTCTAAGAAATATATTTTACTGTATAGACTTAAAGAGAGAATGCACTGTGGTAACATGCAATGATTGTGCTACAATAAAAAATATTGAATTTGGACATAATTTAAGAACTATTTCCATGATAATGTCACTGTAACTACATGTACAATCTACTTTGTAAGCTAAAACCTAATTAATAAAAATTAAAAAATGATGTTGTTCTTCTACTTTGTAACAGTGCATTGTATTTAAAAAATATGTAAAATGGTTTCTTACACCAGGGTGATCTTTCTCCATAGAATACTGTAAACTTTTCAGTAGGGTTAGCGAGACCTATGAAAACAAGAAAGATTTTTAAGATTAAGGCTAAAAATCAGTCATCAGTCAGATGCAGTCATCATTTCCAAAATAGCACTGTACTAGCCATCTTTCTAAAGCTTAAAACATATGTTTTTGCAACTCCCATGTAATTTCCTGATGTTTAAATGGTCACACCAATTTTGTGTGCCACAGTAAAAGTGTAATGTGCTTATTTTCTCAGATAATTCAATTAGATTTTTACAAACTTACCTTCATCCAGGGCAAATCCGACATTTAATTTCTTGAAATCTTCATGATGAACAAACAATTTCATTCCTAACTTCCCTCCAATTTCCTCATCTGAAAGTATGTCAAAAAATTATTGCAAAAAGTAATCTCAGGCCTCCCCTCACCACACTTGGTTGTTATAATAAATTCTTTAAATTGCCGCACAAAAGAGATTCATGAAAAGATATGTGCAGGGCTTCAAAAAAGAACATACAGCCCCCACACCCAAAACATGTGAAATGTATGATTTGTTATAAGCATTCTAAAAATAGGCTTATCCAAATAGCAAAACATATGAGGAAAAAGAACAGTAAAACTTTTCATTGTCATTACATGTAAACCCTATAAACTATATAAATGATAGAGAACAAATGATATATACATTACCTGGAACAAATGACAGGTGTATTGTTCTCAGTGGACAGTAACCAACATACTTGAGACTTCTTATTGCTTCAAGATATCTACATAACAATAGAGTCATCCAAATTACAAGGGAGTTCAGTACTATTAGAAAATTGAAAAAATAATTTGGGAATGTTAAAAAAAACATTTAAATGAATGCGGTTCTTCATCTTTGAGAAAAGAGAGAAAATCATCTTCATAAAAAATTATTTCATTTGTTCGGTTGAAAAAAGTGCATTGTGAGTATGAAATCAAATGCATTTATAATTATATAAGTGCTTGAAAAAGTAAGAGAATGCATGCAAAATGTCACCACATGAAAATGACACCACATGAAAATGGTTACAAAAGATAATTGTCACAGACACCAACTGACAAATGCTGAATACAAGTTTTAATTCTTTTTCCCAAGTTTGTTAAATTACATTAAAATAACATCCATGATCCATTGTGTTATATTTCTTGATGGTGACATAATAATTGAACACGTTGTTTAACTAATAATTTGTACCAGAGAGAAAAACATCCATGTACTGTTTATTTCACTCTGTCAAATCCCATTTGGATTTTATGCATGAGTATACAAAAGCAACCAGAATGTTTTGGAACATTGTGTCATTTACTTTGGAGTATACATGTATTAAATGAGAATATACATGCTCACTGTATGCCTACACATTTCATATCCTGTGTTCCCCTAGCATAGATATCCCCTTCACTAGTCTTAACAGCCTCAAATGCATCATATTTCCAATGTTCCTTCAAAATACAGATATTCAAGGTGCAATAAATATAAACCAGTGGTGAAGTTAAAATTACATTAAAGAGGCAACAAAGGTTAGAGAGTACGTTTCAGAAAAAATTCACAATATTTTGTGCTCTCAACATTTTAATGTTCTGCCTAAATAGCTTATATATTCTATACTGTTTAAACAATGGGGGGGGGTATCGGGGGCCTTATAGAGAGCACATGATAGAGCATCAATAATAAGTTTGTTAAACAGGCACAAAATAAAATTATTGAGTAAATGTATTAAATGTTGCACAAATTACACACTTTTCTCAAAGAAGGGTGCACTTTTAAGTGGTCAATTTTTTACTGTGCAAATAAAGGACATTGGTGTGAGGGTAGGTTATAGTTTGCATGTTTTTAACAACTTTTAATGTGGGATGCCAGAAGATGCCCCACCCCATGAGAAAATTTTACCATTTCAGTATTTGGTGATTTCTGGGCACTTTTGATTGATTTTGGGTCCCCCCCTCCCCATATGATAGGCCAAAGTAGCATAGTTTTATGTATTTTGATACTTACTGGAAACACGGGGACGACATCTGTATGAGAATTCAACAAGATGGAAGGCAGGCTCGGGTCTGATCCTTCCCAAGTCATTACTAATATAATTTTCCCTGGATGCAGCTGAAACATAACACAGCATCTGATTTAACACACAGTTGACGAAAAGCCAAGATATTACATTCTTTTTCTGGAATAACTCTCTATCATGCTGAAACATTCATGATAGAAGATTCAATGTGGGAAACAGTGACAAGTTCTATATTTTGCTATTTGACCAATCAAATTAAACTATGGGCTATTAATGCAACTTAAGGGGCATTCTCCATTTTTGAAATAACATAAAAGCAGGGTGGATCATGAATGCTTTTCACAACGTTTAATCCTGAGGGAAAGTGAGAGTGGCACATTGATATACTTAATAATCATTCTCAATTAATTCAATTCTCCTTACCTCAGTACATGCAAATGGCAAGCCAAGTTCCGATGCTTGTTTCTTTAGAAATGCCAGAGCGCCATCTGCAATCAAACAATACATGAAGTAGTGTCCCATCTGTTAATTATACTTAACTCAGATTGGTTAGACAGAGGATACACTTCAATTCAACACTAGTATTGGTTGGCCAATTCACTGGCGGATCCAGGGGCCATCTAGGGTGGGCCCTCCAATAGTGGGCCTTTTTAGCCTTTACTTGGCCTTTTTGGGACATTTTAGGCCAAATTATAAAAAAATGGGCCTTAAGTTTTCAAAATTTGAGCCCAACTTTTGGATTTAGGGGCCCAAAAGTTGACATCTGGGCCCCCTTTGATAGCTTCTGGATCCCCCAGTGCAATTACTCAGATGCGAGTAGGTGGTTACCAGTTTCGCCACCAGGTGGCTGATTCGTGGGAATTAACATGGCAGGGTATTACAAAATTCACTTAAACTTGAATATGCATCAGCTTTAATGGTTCACTTTTCATTTTACCTTTATGTATCTGATAGTTATATAAATTAGAATATGTCCAGTAAAAGAAAATATTATCTGCCCAACACAAGAAAAGATATTTCACTTTTTGTGGTTTTACAACATGGGCTCTATGGGGAATCTCCCCGAGCTAAAAATCACACTTTCAAAGAAAATTAAATTTTCAAAGTTGATAAACTCTTTTCAAAACCACATTTCAAAATATGATTTTACATTTAGATTCCAAATATGACATCAGTTTGACTGAATTGTGAATTTTTAATGACGTAAATCAAGATTATTTCTACTCGCATCTGGGATATTACATGAATTACAGTATCTGATTGGATAGTTGAGATGACAGTTCCAGAACTACTAGACAGAGAGAAAGAACAAATTGGAGGTGAACACTTAACAATGCTATGAAATTCATTTTGGGATAGTTGATGGCAGATATTTTGAATTAGTTTCGATTCAAAAGGTTAGGCTAAAATTTCTGCATTTAGAGCTGAAGTGTAACAAGCCAGATATGAAAGGAAGTGTGCTAATGCCCGATGCAGAATCAAACCCAGAACCCTCCAGTTCAGAGTCTATGCTCTCTACCTCTGAGTCATCAAGACTTAAGTCAACACATGCTATTCAGAGTCATTACAGATCAAAAGTTTTGATGAATAAAGTAAGGTCATGCAGTAATATTTAACATCACTGCCTCAATCAGAGACCAGGTAAGTATTGTAACAACCCGAGGTGCCTCTTGGAGCTGTAGTGTAACAAGCCAGATACTGGACATGAAAGGAAATGTGCTAAATTCAATGCCCCATGAGCTGAGGCTGTAGTAGCAACTTGTTATTGAGGGTACATGTAATTAGAGTATTATGAAAGTATTCAGATTTCTTGCTTTGATACAAACTTTTGATTCTGCTTGTCTAATAGTCAAGTGTGTTGCTGACTAGGCTATACAGGGTGGGCCAAAAAACGCTACTATTTTTCAAGACACTATATCTTTTTTATTTTCCAACTTACATAATATATACTAAAGTTTGCAGTTATATAGTGCCAGGGGTTCTAAGTTAATACAATATAACAAGTTCTTCAACTTGGATTATATTTGATCTAAAAGAGGAGTTCAATTGGTCCTCCACCTTCTTTGATGATAGCTTTTAGTCTTAGTTGCCTGCTGATATAGCAGTATCAATGAAATGTTGGCTGAGTTTCTTTCAACCTGTCCTAATTGCCAGCTTTAGTTGAGCAATTTTTTAGATTGGGTGCCTTTACACCATCCTGGAGACATTCCCATACCCTATACTCACAGGTGTTTGCATCAGGACTATTAGGTTGATGGTCATCAGGCCGTATCAGTTCAGGAACATTTTGCAAATAATTTTCATTTCTTATGGTACACTAAATGTTTAAGTGAGACAATAAATTGTATTCAAGTAAAAGTCTATAATTCATAATCCATGGCTAGATAGCAACCTCAAGTTTCATTTGGTATGCAAATTATGATTTTTTTCAAAAATTAAAAAAGTTAAAGCATTTTGAAAAGAAAGTGTCATTTTTTGGCCCACCCTGTATATATGAGTGCATGGACTTAAAGAAAGCTGAGACTAACATAAAACAGAAAGTAAGTCTATCATGAGTGTGATCACACAATAAATTCGAATCTGATGATTCCAGTTCCAGGACCATAACTGTAGGGCTTGGGAACGTAGATAAAAAATTGAGTCGAGTTCTGTACAAATGAAAAGAGATCTCTTTTTTTAAGGAACTTGACTCCATTTCTTTACACATGTTCCCGGCGCCTATGACCAGGACTTGCATCTCAACTGACCTGACTTTAGCGAGCTCTGTATACTGATGGTCGATAATTTGAAATACTGGCTAATTTAAAGATTATGCAATTTGAGAGAGCTGCAAATTTTACGCTTGTCTACTGGAAGTTTGATAGAATTTTTCTCTGGTGTTTAGAATTGATTGAGGTAAGAAATATGTGCGTCGCGTGGCATCGTTATTTTTTGTCTTTTGAAATAGAACGCATGAGATGGTCTTGGAGTCTTTGGCACTAGATAAGTGCTGTCAATGAATGTGTCAGCTGTGATCGAAATTGAGAAAATAATTGATTCAACAAAAAATTATTCGAATTCAAATCTGATGAAGTGTTACCATAATCGGGATCCGGGTGTACTGTTTTGATCCGTAGATACTCTCTGAATGTTGTCACCGCCTTCTCTTCTACTTTTCGTGCACCGATACCACCTCCTTCTGGCATTTTAGAAAATAAACAGAGAGGCGTAAAAATAAATGTAGGTCAAAAGTAGAATCGGAGTTAATGCAATCCAGCAAAATAATTGGCCAGATAGTTAAAAAAGTTATGGCGGGAAATTTGAATTTCAAAATCAATATCTGCGCAAGTACTCTCCCAGCCCAAGGGGTTTGCCCCAAGCCGTTATAGTTATTATGTATTCGTTGTTATTTGTTTCGCTTTTCTCGTTACTTCTTTGGTTAAGAGAATATCGCAAAAATCTTGGATCACATGAAAGCATTCAGACGCGTTCATGTATAATTTATTTTGTTCGGTGGTATGATGCATGTAACTCAAAAAATTAAAATTTGTCCACTAGAGGCAATCTGCGCGAGATTCCATTTTTTGGTTCGGTTTTTAGCGCATGCGCAATAAATTCAGCAATTTAATTGGTTCAAATTATTATGACGCATGCGCAATTAATAACTTATAGGAACATTTAATTTGAGATAGATGTCACTTACGTTCATTTTTTCACAGCAGTCCCTACCCATGATGCACCATATAGTGCGGGAATATTTTTGTTTATTGTCAAAACAAAAAGTATGCACCCAAAACAAGTGTAATGACATAATATCAACCTGCCCAGGATTTGTAGACGTATGTTGTACAAACTTAAACCGAACTGATGGCAGAAAAGCACTTTCAATCATGGGAATGAAGTACTTCCTTTAATGAAAAACCGAACCAAGTAGAAACCGAATCTCGCGCAGATTGCCCCGACTCAATTTGTCTGGAAAATATAAATCGAAATCAGTAAATCTATTTCAATCGAAAAGTCAAATGATGTAGTTTATTTCCTAAGTTTAAACAATATGGTATATTAATGTAATAACAATTTCAAAAATCGATAAATGCTACTTTTGAAATTTGTTTTAATAATTTCGTTTTCTAGTTTAAAATTTATAGTCGCCATATCGAAAACAAGAAATATGGTAAGTTTAAAACTCTCCGTCTAAATCGGTCCCAATCTAGCATTAAATAATACTTAATCGCTCATCTAATTGAATAATATTGTAGAAGTTATTATAATCAATATATTTATCATTTGTTAACTTCATTACACCTTGAAACTGGCTGTCGTTTTAGTCTGAAATGGTTGCTAGGATTTGAAAATGTCAAAAATTTGGAATAAATTTCAACAAGAATATTCTGGAACTGTCAAAAAGTTTTCGAAAATTACATTGAAAAGTTATCGTACGAAATGCATTTTCGGTGTAATAAATACATTTCGTACGATGGCTATGACATAAAGTGCTCACCAAAGTCACCATCAATAAATGACACCTGGATTTTCAATCATCATTTCCAGACCATGGTTAGGGGGTTCAGTTTATCCCATTCCCGGACTTTGGTCCTGTGAACATCTCAATCTTTTGCCTGTGCGATTACAACATGGGAGAATTTTTTACTGATCTTACACTTCAGATACCTACTTCAATAGATTCCTTGGTAATTTAGCATTCTTTTCATGTAGTTGAATCCACAATTGTCTGGGTTTATCGGCAGAACGAAGACATTTTCGTTTTTGATCGCAATATTTGCGTGTAACATTTAACTTATTTCAACCGTCAAATTCCTCCATATTGGTACTTCCGGGCTACATCCGGGACAGCCAAACGGGGGATTCCCCTTTTAAATCCAACCGCCATTTTGAAAAGTGATGGAATCTCTCTCGATGAAAAAGAGAAAATGTTCCCGTTCTGCCGATATACCCAGACAATCGGCAGTTCCAATATATTAGAAGTTACATCTTGAGTTCTATAATGCATTGAGGTAGGTATCTTAAGTGTAAGGGGCGTAGATAATTCTCCCAAGTTGTAATCGTACAGGCAAATGAATGCGATCAGTGCAGGACTATAGTCCGGGAACGGGATAAGGTTCAGTCACTTCTGGGTTTAGTCTGGACAACCTCAAAATTATGCAATAACAGCTATTATATGCCAACTTACTATGTCATGTGTTATTATTTCAATATAGATGCACTTGTCACCTATGATTCTATGTTTATTTAATTCATTTTTTTAATTTTGGCAATTTTATGACAGAAAAACCATCAAAATATGTAAAAATAAGCATATTTCTGCATATTTACTCATCCAAGATGGTGGCCAGAAATTTTGAATGTCACACCATTTTTCCAACTCAAACCCTCCATTGATAATGAAATATGAAATTCAGAAATCTTAAAAAACCAAGTTGTTGTATCTAATAGTTTACGAAGTGTCTGGAGTACCTTAAAATTTAAGGCTCTTTAGCCAAAATGCTAAAGAGCCTTAAAATTTAAGGCTATTTAGCTGTGAACATAGTGTTTTGGCTAGAGAGCCTTTATGTTTATAATCCGTGCTTATATTGTTTTTATTGAAGTTTTCGTCATCTAAACAATAAAACAACACTCTGGAAAGTTTTTCAACCCAGAATGCTACTTAAAAATTTCACACATGTATATCACTATAAAGTTGAAAAAAATTTAGCTTAATCATGAAAAAACACTCTGGTATAGTGGTTAGGGAGTTCGCCTTTCACTTTTCCGGCGTGGGTTCGATTCCCCGATGAATAACAAGCCGGAAGTTTGTTCTCTGAGGTCCGGCAATTATGTACACATTTTTTCTAGAATTCTTGGGCTTGCTCTATCGCTCAATCATCAATGTTTAATGAAATTAATCACTTGTATTGGCTTTGCTATAGTCACCAGCTTAGAGAATACAGGGAATCTCATTTTAAGATGGCAAAAAGGATGATGAAGACCTGGGGATGAAAAAGGATCTTGTTTCTTCTAGATACAGCACATCACGACGCAGTTTATCGTGAATGCAGGGACATCAGCCCAGGGACATCACAGAATACACTTCCAAATCTATTGCCCATTAAATTTCAATGCTGTTTTTAGAATTTTTCACGTGAGAATTTAAGCACATGAGAGAGCACAAAGAAAAGGCAAAGAAAATCAGTACAAGAGGTGAACTGCCGAGGAAACAGCGGCTTATGCAACACAACAGCATTTTTATCCTAGCCTCCAATCCATCAATAAATGTCTATACGTCAAAATCTTTACTAAACGGACGTTGTGATTTATAGTGGATAAAATGGTAAAAATAACATTTTTCTGGCTATATACGTGATTGCCTGGTCGGTCCTCTCTGGTGAACCAGAGACATATATTTTCGATATATACATGAAGGTCCGTTCAAAGTCGATGTTTGAACCTTTAAAAAGCCGAATTTAGACTGAGGATTGAAAAGGTTCTACTACTGAAGAACTTTTATTTCTCTCGGTAGACCGGAAGTAAATTTATGAGTCAAGCAAAAAGTGATAATGTTTTTTTATGAAGTGGGGAAGTCAAAACAGCACTAATAGAAGTCAAAGTAAGCATTCGAAGATTATTTAGAACCATTTAAAATTAAATCGACGGCAAAATTGAATTGCCTGAAATCTTTATATTTTCTTCTTCATCTTCTTCGCGGACCTCAGAGAAGACACTTCCGGTTTAATAATCAGTGATTTTATCGATCAAAACATATTTCTTTTTGAATTTGTCCGATATCTGCTAATATGGTATGTATATTTGTGCTGATTGTTAAATTACAAAATAGGTTGGGTATAGAATTTGTCAAAGTCGTTTGATCTTGTCTGGCAGAAGCAATATTTCGTCATTTCTGTCGCCTGGAATTCCTTTAAGGCTCTCTAGCAGAATTGGCTATCAAAATGCTAAAGAGCCTTAACATTTAAGGCTCTTTAGCCCAAATGATAAAGAACCTTAAAATTTAAGGCTCTTTAGCATTTTGGTAACCCATTTGGCTAGAGAGCCTTAAATTTTAAGGCTCTCCAGGCGCGGCCAATAGTTTACACTCTGGGTGTCACAAAATGATTTTACAGCTGACATCAATAGATATTCCCGATTGAAGTGAAGAGATTTTTTTCTAAAAATCCTCATATTTTGGACTTATTTTCTCCCAGATGTCCGGATACTCTTGTAAAACAATGAAGATTCATTTTTGCAATAACTTTGCAACCATTAGTTCAATTTTAAATCTGCAAAGAGCACTATAATCCTGAATTTCACCTCTTCAATATTATCATTATTGCAAGTTATATAGAAGTAAACCAATGACCCGTACTCCTTAAACAAAATTGGTAAATCTAAGCATATAATTTCTGTATATTTTCTTATCCAAGATGGCAGCCAGAAATTTTGCATGTCACACTAATTTTCCACCTCAAATCCTCCTTTGACTTTGACATATGAAATTGAGAAACCTTAACAAGTCAACTTGTTATATCTAATAGTTTACACTCTGGGTGTCACAAAATGATTTTATAGCTTCAAACCATAGATATTCCACACTGAAGTGAAGGCATTTTTATAGAAATTCTCAAATTTGGACTTATTCAAAGTTTACTGTCTCCCAGATGTCCGGAGATTTTCAGGAAACATCAAGATGAATTTCCACTGTAACTTCGCAACCATTAGTCCGATTTTAAATATGTAAAAAGCATTGTGATCCTGAATTTTCCTTCTATAATATTATAACTTTAACAAGAGAGTTCTATGGAAGCATCAAAATGACCTGAACCCCCTACCATGGTGATTTGAGATTTCATGCTTTCCAATAATGTCTAAGTTTGAGAAATATCTAAAAAGTTACTCGATTATTTTGTGATTTTTAATCACAGAAAGCATTCTGAAGTTTCAAATTGGCGCCACGTTTAATTTTTGGCATCCGCCTAATGTATACCACTTACCTTTTCATTGATTCTTTGATAAGTTTCGTCAGTTTGACCAGAAGTACAGTGGGGATCATACACGCCTAACCATCGCGTAAGCAGGCGTCACCGTACTGCGTCAAAAAATACAGTAGTACAGTTTTCTGTACGGTGACGAAAATTAACTGAGTTGAAGCAAAAACTATAATGAGGGTTTTAAAAAGATTAATTAGATGAAAATAAATACGATTTCGGGTGTAATAAAAACAGCATTCTCTTAGGAATGGTTTTAACTTTCTAATTATGAT